TAATGTTAACTATCCTAATAATTACAGAGATTGATTAATTAGAGACCTACTAAATGTATTTTTGTTAGGTATTATGTAATTATGGGTATTGTTGCGTGCTTGTACTTACTAATCCATATCAAATTTAACTTAAAAGCACTTACGAAAATAACAATAAAGGTTTTTATTCTATGTATTTATTCATTTTTTTCGATCCATTTATTTGGCAGAGTTGCAACTTTATGCACATGTTCATAGCACCAAATGATAGTAGACTAGACAAGGTGTAAGAAAAATAAAGTTTCAAAGCGGGACCTCACGGTACTTAGCAGGAATTTAATTTAATGTGACCCGCTCCATACAAAAAAATCATAAAATACATTTTTCTGACCAAACTATAAAGTTTTTGTAATTTTTGCCCAAAACAATTATTATTGAGATTAACGAGCTCTATCTATCTACGTGAAGAAAAATCTTAAAAAACAAAGTTGGTCCCTAAGTCACTAAAATCATAGTATCGACCCACTGTGTGCCGCACCCTTCAATCCGGTATAGCTGTTTCGTGATAGGAATAGGCAGGCCGTAGTAATTGCGTGGTAGCAATACACCGTTCGACCGTACAATAAATTGAAATAATAAAATTGCCAGTTTCTATAAATTTCCGCCCACTACCAGAAATATTAGTATGGTTCACCTCTCACCAGTCATTAGCCGTAAATCATCAGCATCAAAATGGCATCCAAAATTTTTCTTCGCTTTGTCAATTTTGCCTTACCTTATTTTAGCTAATGGGACTATTCCGTAATATACTAATCTTTGGCCTATTCCAGCTACGCGCAGACGGGATTTGTTAAGTACTTAGTCATAAACTCTAATTGCCTTAAAATAAGACATGACTTAAAGGTCTTAGTTACCAGGTCATAAAATCCCTTAAAAAAAACATACTATGCTGCTACTCTAAAGTAATCTGTGATTTTGACATTTCAGAAAAAAAATAACCTATATACCCACTTTTCACTCGTTCACGTTAGCAGATTCTACTTTTCAAACTAAATACACATAGAGGTACTTTGGAACAGTATACCTTAATATTTATTTTATATAACATGATTTGGCATTATTCGTCATGATTATTTTGGCAATACAGTCTATCGTAGGTACAGCTTTATAAATTTCTGGAAATTCAAACAAACTAAAGTTTGTCAACATTTTACTATTCTCTAACGAGAAATAAAAGAAAAATAACATGAGTAAAAACAATGGAACGGAAGCACCTGTTTGTAAAAAACCACGAATGTCACGTAAAGGAAGCACCAAATGTAAGTATGCTTATTATGTTTACTTTTGTAGTGTATTCACGAAGAGTGTGCAGCAGCTTAGGTGTGCAATCCGCATTGCTAAAATGCATGAGCTACGGTAATAACTTACTATCAGGTGGGCCGTATTCTCGTCTGCCTACAAAGACAACCAAATAACAACGACGGTGTCCAGTTGTCATCAGTTAAGGTCATTGTTTTTGAGATACTGTCTCTTTATACTTTTAAAACTTAACAAAAAACCTGAGTTGTTTAAATTATGACATCATGTCACAAGATAGGTGGAGACCTCCCTGGTGTGTTTACTGGAGTTTGAGATATGAATTTGAAATCTCATTTATATTGCAAAATAGCCCTCCTTTCAACCTGACTTACAATATAGCAGAATAACCAGTAACTGTCTGCCCATCTCTTCCAATAATAAAAAAAATGTATTCATAAACAAAAAAATTATAATGGGTTGGAACATTAATATCACATTAATCTACAGTAAATATAATTTTTTATTAAAAAATTGTTTGGTACCTTGATATCTTCTAAGTCATAATCAAATTGTTGTTCTAATGTGATTTAACTTTGTTTTATAGGTATAGTCTCATCAGACAATAACTGTGAAGAACTCAATTCTGACAAAACATTAAAACCCGTTAAAAGTGTAAAGCACTTACCTAAATTTCGTTTCAAAATTGCTGGAGAACAAGCAAGCCTAGAAACTATAAATGTTGAAAGGGTACCATTAGTACTTACAGATATTCAACATCTTCTACTCCATTCCCTTTTAGGAAGCCTTAATTTATCACAGCCACCTCGGTGGTATGTTTTAGAAAAATGTGGCAAAATCACCCAAACTACATGCTTAATTTTGGAAGGTGTTTCTGTTAAACACTTAGAAAACTATTATGAAGAGCTAACTTGCTTAAAAACAATTTTTAATCATACCGTTGAAGTTCTCACACCATCAGTTTATAATGGCTCACTAGTTCAAGAACTAGCTTTAGTACCATTAACTGAAATAGAAAAAGAAAGCTTAATACAGAAATATGGTTCTATGAATTTAGCTCTCGAGGTTAGAAAAGATCTAATGGTCATGATGAGAGCAATTTTTCCAATTGTTGATCAGAGTGAAAGCACAAATGAAATAAGATGCAATGATAAGTTTCCTAGAACACAACTTATTCTATCAGCTTGGCAGTTGTTAGAGGAAAATTACCCTGTACCTCTGAAAGGTAAATTGCAACACACATATTCAGATTATGTAATGAGTAAAGAGGAATATACACCCGTAACAGCAACCTCACCACTATTTGGTATAGACTGTGAAATGTGCATTACAAATGCTGGGTCAGAATTAACTCGTATATCTGTAGTGAATGAAAAACATGAAGTTGTCTATGAATCCTTGGTAAAGCCCTACAACGATATAACAGATTATTTGACACGATTTTCTGGAATTACAAAGCCAATATTGAATGATGTAACAAAAAGACTCGAGGATGTTCAAAAAGATTTACGGGAACTTTTACCATCAGATGCTATTCTTGTAGGTCAATCATTAAATGTAGACATGCATGCTTTAAAAATGATGCATCCATACATAATTGATACAAGCGTAATATTTAATTTTATGGGTGAAAGATCTCGTAAACCAAAATTAAAATCTTTGGTAAAAGAACTATTGAGAGAAGATATCCAATGTGGCAAAAATGGACATTGTTCTGTAGAAGATTCCTTAGCTTCATTGAAATTAGTGCAACTTAAACTCAGTAAAAACATTGAATATGGAGATGCAGTGCACACAAACAGAGAAAAATTTAAAGAAAATATAATAAAAATGGCACAGTCTGAACATTACACAATCTCAATATTCAACCGCATGATGGAACACAAGAAATCTTCTTTGATTGTTGGATGTGACAACATTACGGGCGATTACCACACATACTTGTCTCAAGCAAAAGAAAATATGACATCACAGTTAAAAAGAGGGAAAGGGATGTCTAAAAAAATTAAATTGAATACTGTTGATACAGTTGACGAAGTGATATCAACTCTATGTAATGCTGTTTCTGAATATAATTTTACTATGGCACATTTGAGATTGAAATTAGATACTTCAAATGAACTAGAGGAGATTAAAAAAATAGATAAGTGGATAAAAAGTGTGTGGAACAGTGTTGAGCAATCAGCTCTGTGTATAGTAGTGCTTGGAGGAACAACTGTAGACAATGGCGTTGCTATGATAAGAGTTAAAGGGTCTTGACATGCCTCATTCTATCAAACTATCATTAAACGAATATCTTCATATGAAATTGTTTTATTTTTAATAGTAGTAATAAAACAGATATAATGATACATGTGCTAATAAAATCTGTGCATGATAAATCGTTATGAGAGCAATAATAAGCTTTGTCCCTTGATAATAAAAGCTGAAAAGAATTTCATAGTGAAACTGATTAATTCTATGTCTATCTGTCGTAGGTGCCTTTGGAGGCAATACTTCCTATTAATTAAACATTTCATTGTAATAAAACGTTTGATTTCTTTAAAATTTAGTCGTCGTGGCCTAAAGGATAAGACGTCCGGTGCATTCGAATCCCGCAGGCGGGTACCAATTTTTCTAATGAAATACGTACTCAAGAAATGTTCACGATTGACTTCCACGGTGAAGGAATAACATCGTGTAATAAAAATCAACCCGCAAAAATTTTAATTTGCGTAATCACTGGTGGTAGGACCTTTTGGGAGTCCGCACGGGTAGGTACCACCACCCCGCCTATTTCCGCCGTGAAGCAGTAATGTGTTTCGGTTCGAAGGGTGGGGTAGCCGTTGTAACTATACTGAAACCTTAGAACTTATATCTCGAGGTGGGTGGCGCGTTTACGTTGTAGATATCTATGGACTCCAGTAACCACTTAACACCAGGTGGGCTGTGAGCTCGTCCACCCATCTAAGCAAAACTCGAGACTATTACGTAACTCTTGCTCTTCACCAAGGCGCATACTTGACTTATATAATCTTATACGCTATCACGTTTTTTTTTCATAATTATTCTGAATTTAACATTTTAAAAAAAACATACCAAAGGGTTGACCAATAAATCAGCTTCAAAACTGCATAAAAACTTATTGCTCCACCTAACATTTATTTTTAGCTAGGGACAGCCAAAACTTAAAACACTAGGTGGGTCGATAGATGTGTCCGGGAGTGTATTTATGTATGTTTGTTAAATACTAAGAGAATCTACGTAGTTTCACTATAAATTATTTATTCGGAAACTCGACCGGATAAAATTGTTCATTTTATTTAGAAAATAATTTGGGGCTAGACAGCCTCTGCTCCTCTGTTGCCCCGAGGCCTCCAGACCTCTAAATCCGGCCCTGCGTTCGATGCACCGGTGACCATTCGTGTCGAACTCGTCGAATGCGACGAAGGGTTCGTCATAACAACTAATCCATAGATTCCATCGTCCAACCCATTGAGTTTTTCGCCGGATCTCAGTGAGTCGCGCTTCCGATGCTAGGGTTGGTGTTAGCAACTCTTTGGTTGAGCCTATGAGGTCACTAACCAGCCAGTCAGTAGCTGGAATAGCCCTTGTAGTCAGTATTAGGTAATAAAAAACAATGCATTCTCAAAGCATCATGAACACCATTAATAATATAAAATATATTTTTATTACTGTTGATTAAAGTGGTAGGTAATTAATTATACAAAATGCAGTGTGTTCGTTCATTTTTGTTTTTATTTTGCGAGTGAATAAATTTGACCCGTTAAAGGATCAATGGTGAGTGATGCCGGTAGTTCCGCTGCAATATCAGCTAAAGCTTCCCATCTCGTAGCACGACTGCTCTCTGATAGACTGGGGCTAATCGCTTCTTCCCCGTGCTCATCTCTAAGACAAAAAAAGTTTAAGAAATTAACACTGTCAGTACCAAAATGAATATTTTGGCCTTCTAATTATATTGAATTTCTGTAGGTTATTAATTAATTTTAATTGGTGCACTGGTGTCATCGGTAAGAGATAGATCTTCGGGGGTATAGGTACGTTCGATTGCTTTATTCATATTGATTAGCATTCATATTCATTATTAACATTTATCGTCTGTCATCTTGTCTTGGATACCAAGTATGCTTTTTTTAATGTATCGACGGTTGCTAGAACTCAATGACGACACCCGAAATGACCGAAACGTGACCATGGACACTGTACATTGTAATATAACATAGAGCCAGCATAGGTGCAAGCCAATCTTACGTTGACCAAAATGAAAGCCATGTTTAACACTAGAAGATGGCCGTTCTGATGCTGTTCTTACGGATCAATTAAACCTCTGGGTTACAGAGGTGCTTCGGCTATCTGTGTTTCGCACCATATGCACCATGAGGGGTGCTCTAAATATTTCTTTGGGAGGATTTCAACATCTCCCATTTTAGAGTTCATCCATACTATCTAGAATCACTACGATCATCTACGATCAATAAAATTATAATTTGCGTAAACACTGGTGGTAGGACCTCTTGGGAGTCCGCACGGGTAGGTACCACCGCCCTGCCTATTTCTGCCGTGAAGCAGTAATGCGTTTCGGTCTGAAGGGTAGGGCAACCGTTGTAACTATACTGAGATCTTAGAACTTATATCTCAAGGTGGGTGGCGCATTTACGTTGTAGATGTCTATGGGCTCCAGTAACCACTTAACACCAGGTGGGCTGTGAGCTCGTTCATCCATCTAAGCAATAAAAAAAAATATCTATAGATCGTTTCCAGAGATCTTTTTTGCCATGTATCATCTGGCTCTGGAATGCCCCTGTGTATCCTGAATGCTATGACATGTTTTTCTTTAAACGAGTTTTGAAAAGAGACCTAAGCGGCAGGCAGCGATTTCGCTGTACCTCTGGTGTCATTAATGTCTATGAGCATCAGTGACCGCTCATCATGAAATGGACGGTATACTCGGTTGCATATTAAAATAAAATAAAAACCAAAATACCATGAAATCAACACTTACTGTTCGTTATTTGCTTCAATATGTCCAATACTTTCTGATACATTAGTATCTTCCACCTGTGTCGTATGGTTTTGGTCCTCTGAATTATTAATTGGCGAGGTTTCTTCATTTTGTGAACTTTGCATTTCATCTGAATGATTCAATTCCATTACCTTTTCAATAACTTCTTCTAAAGTAGAGATTTTATCTTCTTCGTTAGCAATAACAATGGCTCCTAATTCTTTTTCACTATTCGAATTCATTTCTGCAACATCCTGACAATCTATAATGTTAAAGTTTATTTATGAAACAAATTATACATTACTATGATATTAGTAATCTTTTATTTATTTATGTTCACTTTATTGTACAACTAACAAAAATAAGTATGTGGGACAGTCCAGATTAAAGATGAGACGAGCAGAAATTTAGCAAATTAATAACTTCAAAACACAACTTTTATTTATTTAATAACGATAATAAAAAACAGTTTAGAATTTCGTCAAGAATTGTACGTTTTCTACCGTCATTACCTGTATAAATATTATAAATTGGAAACTGTCATTAGTACGATGTTTTTATCAAATTACAGCATTGTCTTCTGATTTCTCAAATATATTTAATCTATGACCAAAAATATAAATGGATTTCTAGTGCTCCAATGTGCAAGAACTGCTTTGGAAAAAGATTCCACGTGACATCAAGATATAAGAAACCAAGGTCTTAAATCATGAGCCATTGCTAAGGTCAAGAGGTCGTCGGCGTAATAGAGACTTAAATATGAAAGCTGTTTTAGTGAAATACGAGTTATTACTTTAAATTTATGTACTGTGCGAAATTATTACTAATAATACTTATTTTACTAACTTTTATCTTCCTTTAAAGGAAATGTCTCCATCAGAGAAATATCACTTTTAACTAAACGTATAGTTTGTCCTAAAGTATCACATTGAGGAAGCACATTATTTGTATCGTGTCTTTCACTGTTTTCGATTTCTTCATTACTATTTATTGTTTGATCACAGCTATCAGCGAATTGAATGCTTTTCTGCCTTTCTGAAATGAATTTAATAATTAGTGATTCTAGTTGAGCAGAAAATAGAAGTAGTTCACAGTTTTTCTCAATCTTGATGCAAAAAAAAACTCAGTACATTAAAGTTAAAGTACCTGTGGCACTAGCATCAGGTGTAACGACAGCTGGTGCGCTGCTGGTGCAACCCATTGTCGTGTACCTCACGCAATTTCCATTAGGAGTGGCACGTGGCTCTTGTTGATGTGCGGGAACCGCCGCGATGGCCGCGACGACCGCCACTCCGCCGCATATGCCGTGCTCGACTGCCCGTTGCCTCAGATTTTATCGTAAACCACCTATTGTGGTAGGAGGCAACCCACTACAGCGACCTCGCAACCCCATCGCGTTTTTATAATTAAATAAACTTAGTATGTAGTACATTCTTTCACTTTGATGTGTGGACGCTCGTTTAATAGCATTAATAGCATTTTGCCTTGTGAAATTAAATGGCTTTTACGTTTATACTGTAAACACAGAAATGCACAAAGTTACGAGTTCACAAGTACCACAGAAAAGTCTGTGACTACTTGACAATATCTATACTGAATCAATAAAAAATCGGCTATAGGATTTTAAAACCTAGCCACTCACATTTCTCAAATGATTAGTGTCTTTCCCTAGGTAAGCTTTCTAGATTTTTGTTGAGATCATGATCTGACAATTAAGGATGTAAAAATCAATCACAAACCAAAATATAAGAAATTGAAACCAACCAACTACATTACAATTATGAAGGTACATAAACAAATCTAAAGCCCTGCATCTCACACCATTACCAATATATTTTTTATTCCTTAGATGTATGGACGAACTCACAGCCCATTTGGTGTTAAGTGTTATGGAGTCCATAGACATCTACGACGTGAATGCGCCGCCCATCCGAGATATAAGTTCTAAGTTCTCAGTATAGTTACAACGGCTGTCCCACCTTTCAAACCGAAACGCATTACTGCTTCACGGCAGTAATAGGCGGGGTGGTGGTACCTACCCGTGCGTACTCACGTCTCACACGAGATCCTACCACCAGTAAAATATCAAGTAACTAAACTAGAAAAAATTCTGACAGTTATATAATTTCGAAATGATACTAAGTAAAGTACCTTCGTTTTGAAATGCTACCCAATATGCACTAACCTTTAGTAACAGAACTATGTAAAGCGACTACGTAAAAATAGCATAAAGAATTATACGGAGATATCAAAGACAATAGAAATAAAAATCTTAATATTATTATAATATAAACTTTTAGATTCAGTACAAATTTTAAGAATGTACAGATCAAATAACTCGCCACTGGTCAGATATTCACCGTGAACATTGACGATTAAAAATGTACTTTGTTCTCCCGGTCCCGTCCGTGCGTAGCTGGAATAGCCCCCTTTTAGCTACAAGCTATAATGTAACGGGCTTTTTGAACCGACATAGAAAAAAAAGGAGGCTCTCAATTCGACTGTATTATTTTGTGCGTTACCTCAGTACTTCTTCCAGCTGAACCAATTTTTATATATTTTTATTTGACGCCGTTGTAGTATATAATTTCTTCTAATATACATAACACCGTTTAATTTTATCAAGATCTAACCAGTATGAGTTATCCTTATTAATTCAAATTTCATTGACTTCTACTACTACATTGATGATATTCTCATTTTATTTCGTATTATTTATTTTAAGTCGGTTGTCCTTTTTCTTATAATTTTGTATTATTGTTCATTTATTTAATATTCTGCATGTTGATAATCATTAACAATACGTCACTCTCACAGCATAACCAAATTAAATTATTTCTTACATGTTGAGCAATAAAATGAGTAAGCAATAAGAAAAAAATGTTGAAATTAATCAAAATGATTAAATCATCAAGTTCCCACATAGTTCAGTAGATATACCTACCTAAAATTCCAAGAATTAGAAAACAAAATTAATAAGACCATCGAAACTTATCAAGATGCAGAGCAAAGACAGTCCTAAAGTTAACGATCTTGGAAACTTCTACCGCTCGTCTGTTCTATTTAAATAATCATGTCCCTCTAAATAAAACCTAGTAAAGTAGGAACGTTATTAAGTTTTTACATTGCAAACGTAACAATTTCATAATATTCAAACGTTTAAAATAATTAATGATTGCTGTTTTTTAGATGAAATAGCACGACTTAATCAATTACAGTTACATTTCTTATTGTATTAAGGTTACATCAAATTTTTAGAATTGGCCATTGGCTATTGAACCAATGCAAAAATAGCATGCTGCATCTGAAAAAATAATTCTTATAGTTCAGAAACATATTCCGTCTACGCAATATATTTTTTTAGTCTGGCGCTAATTTTAAAAAGTAAACTTGACCCCTGAATATTTCGCTGAAATATTATTTTATGGTTTAGCAACAATGATGGAATCGACTTCAGTTGGCTTTTTAAAGATAAGGCCTTAGTGTATCTGTATGTAACCGGTTTTAAAAAATTAAAGCATAGGTCTACCAGTCTCATTATCCGCGTGAGGGTTATGACAGAGCCTAACAAAAGAGTTACCTACCAGTAGATTCGGTCAAGTCTATAAGATTCTTTCTTCTCAGTCGTATGCACTCTTGGCAGAGTGGTCGTGGTCACCACTTCGGGTAGTGGTGCGCTTCACCTCATGTCGCCAATCCTCGCGTACCGCGGCCCTTCTTGTGCACTCGTTAACGGGACGCCTTAGAGCTATTTATTTTCCCACAAGAGAAAATCGCTGGATCTCCTACCGCGCAGCGGGTGGAAGTGGAAGTTGAATCTCACTAAAAACTCCTGCCGCTCACAGCCGGCGCCCTACCCCGGACCGGGCCGGTGCCCAGTCGGAGTTATTGAGACGGCGGGCGAGCGGGCTAAGTTTACGCAGAGCATATTACATCCATCCCGCCATCCAACCGCTTAGAGCCTTTATTTGGTCGATCAATCGTAACGGTAATCTGCCGCGCGGTCTTGTGCCCTCTCTCATGCACCACAAGGCGCTCAACAGAGTCGTCACCCTGACGCGACACATGCCCGAAGAAAGTGAGAATGCGACCCTGAACGATGGAGGACAATCGCTGCTTGATGCCAAGTTCCAGTAGAATTGACTGTTTCGTTCTGAATTCCGTCCACGATATTTGCAGCATTATTCTCGAGCACCACATTTCGAGAGTATCTGTCCTCTTTATTTGGACATTAGAATGCTTTGTGCTAGATAGATTTAACTGATGCTCAAAAATGTCGTCGCGTAGATTGATGTCACAAAATGTTAAGACTCGACGGATAACAAGGAAGAGCTTAGACGAACGTTATTTAAGGACGCTGAAGCAGCGGTTACAGTGCTATAATAATAGTGGGGTCACTGCTTTTCTCAATAGTTTGATGGTATGCAATGATAGATACATGGGTTCTCAAGGGAATTATTTTGAAATACATTAAATGAATTAGCAGTAGCTGTTTCAGCTTTTGATGTTTTAAAAACTTCTAAAGTCAAGTGTACAAGATACCTATAATCAGTACGTATTTTGTTTTTCACGACACAATTGAACAGCTTGTACGGTTTAACTTCGGGCTTATTATTTTCATTTTACGACCGCTTTATCGAATATTTGAAACGTCAGATATAATAAGCGCGAGATTAAGCCATAAAAATATCTTTAATTATGCATATAATTATTTTGTTTTTTGTTTTTTTAAAGGGAAATAAATACCTACAATATTAAAACCTAAATATGTATATACAGCTAAATATTAATTAGTCAACATTTCACCTTGCGCTACCTCTTGTTCGAAGCGTGCCACTAATCCTTTGCCGCACGAAACGAAAAACGTCCGAACTTTAAAAAAAAATGGCATATTTATATATCAATCATCTATTTTTATTTTGTAAGCAATACAATCACAAAAATAATAATCTTGATAATATAAAATCGTAAGTAGTTACAGTAATTTGTAGGCCGTTTACACCGATTTTCAATGTAAAAGTAACCCTTTGTTCAAACAATTCACGCAACAGACCGGACTAAGGTGCTATAAATTATTCCATCCGTCCCCAGCTTGAAGCTTGAGGAGGCGCGGGGACAAGGTAGTCAGCGCGCCGTTGTTCTTACCCACCTACTTTCTGGTTACAGACCACCCCTTCTAGGTCACAGGTTTAAAAATAGATATAATTTAAAAGAACGCGACACACCACACTGTTTTTAAAAATGTTTCATTACAATGGCATTGCGTGAAGTTTTTTACGTGCCGTGTGCCGTTTTAACATGGAACGAAAATTCGTCTTGTTGTTTTCAAGGTTCTAGTTTATGGAATCGAGCTTTTGACACAATAGTTTTTATATGTGAAAGAAATATGAACATTTATGATTTATTTTGCAGATCTAAACTTAAGACAAAAGTCAGAAAGATCAATAAAAAAAGACGAACTGATGTCAATAAAAAAATTAAAAAAAGCGTTCTTGACAGTAGGATAGTACAATGATGGAGGATACCTCTCCATCCGGTTGACGCAAGTGCTTACCGGGCTCTAGAGCATCCATATTGGTACCTCTGCATAAAATCTCGGAGCGCATACTACTTAGCATGGGCAGGCCTGTGCCGTATTGTAATCACTAATGTAGAGCCTTACTTGTCGGGACCCGACGTCGTACAATATGTGCGATCGTGACGATTCGGAATTAAAAGTTTGAGGTGAGGAAAAGCTCTACTTTCTCTACTATCTCACCGCCTCTAAGCGTTGAAGCCAAGCTGGGACCAAAAGCAGACCGTTCATCGTCTATATTTTTTTCTAATGGATGAAAGAGTTTTTCGGATTTTAAGTATTAGTGAAATCCATAAACATCACAATCTAAATGTAGTCACCCAGACAGACATGAGTTGAATTAGTCTCAATTGTATTGTATAACAATTATATCACGCCCTTCAAACCTGAGACAAGCCTTCTTCGCGGCAGAAACAATCAGAATTTTTGTAACTACTCGTGTGGGCTTAGACCGCGCACCACAATCAACCAATATTGCAAATTTATATATTTTTTAAGGATTTTATTTTTATTACACGACGTTATTACCGCCCTTTTTCAGATTTGTGGGGTACCTGTAGTTGGAATACATTTTTTGGTTAGAAATTATATCGAGTACATCGATGTACATACTTATACTTATATTAATTATAGGACAATAAAAACACGAAATTATTAGGATTATTTTAATTAAAAATGTTTTTGTCATATTTGGAAACATATGTACCTAAGTCAGTCAGTTTTGAATTAAATATAATTTGATGATATTGAATTTATGACAAAATTATGGAAATAAGTAGTTACCTTTACTAAATGATTTTATTTTTTTAAATAATTTATGAAATTTAATTCGGGCAAAAGAGGTAACATTATTAGCGTGCACAAGGGCATGGGCCGGCTTCTGCTATGACCAAGTCTCCGCAAAGAGCGATGGCCTCGATCTCTACAGCTGCTCCCAACGGTAGTCGACTGACTTCGTATGTCATTCGAGCTGGGCAAGCTTTAGGAAAGTCTGTGAAGGAAATTAACTGTTTTATTTGACATCCGGTTTAACAGATATGTTCATTAGCTTGCGGTTCGTTTGCCAGGTTGAAACAAAATTTTTCTCCAAGCGTGTCTGAATTGAGATAAAGTTTATTATACGCCACAATTTTTAGGTACCATACATATATTTTTTTATTGTCATTATTGCGGTATGACCACAAATTTTGTTGATGTTCATGTAACGACCGATCAGATTATTTTGGTCGCTGCTTTACTAGTTTCAGAAACTAAGATAATTAAGTATAATTAAATTAATATTTTTATTAGAATTAAAAGAAGCTAATAATAATGAATAGTAATGAACAGAATCAGAATAGATTCTGTTTATTACTATTTGATGTTACATATATTTGATATATGTTGATTCATCATTGATTATTATTTGTTACATTCATTAGATACCGTGATAAAATCGTGAACCCTCTCTAATGCACGTTTCGATCAATTTTTTCAGCTGACGAGAATAGAACCTTTTGATTCAATTTGTTTATAAAATCTCTTTTACCCAATTTAGATCTCAAATTGCATTTCAGCGAAATCACGACCAAACTAAAATTACATAATTTTCTTTAAAAAAAAAACCCACTGACACAAATATTTTATTATGTATTTATTTTATTATGTTTATGACGACGAACGAACTTAGTCTATTTGGTAGCGTATAAAAATTATTTTCCATTGGGATTCCCAGTAAATTTTTTATTTTTTCATAAGTGCCATTTGAGCAACACTAAACAAACTTGCTATTTTTAATATACCTAAGTTGGTACAATCGTCATCACTCTAATGAGTATGCAAATTAAGTAGGTGATTCGTGTTAAATGGTTTTTCAGGAGTTTGCAAATTACATATGTATGTACTAACATTCTGCATAGACTTTGTTGAAAGTTTGGAAGTCGTCCATGCTAGCCAACAAAACAGTAGTTTTCACGACCGACTCCAACGAAGCGCCACCAGCTTCAAGTACATGTCGCAGATTGTCCAGAGCCTGACGGGTCTGCGCTTCAGCACCACCGCAGACCATCTGTGCATCTCGATCCAATCCGAGAATTCCAGAAATGTATAAGGTCTTGTCCGCTAAAATTGCTTGACTAAAATTAAATAGACGATACAATACAACATCCTCCAACCCATAATCCAAGTTTTTCATTTTTACAATTATTGGCGTAGAAAACATAACACAATAAGTATTGATTAACATTATTAATGTACTTCCCGATTTCTCGGAGGTTGAAATTCAAAATGAGGAACTTTGTGTATTATCTATTGTATAAACACGTCATTACGGATCCTCCCGATCCATTAACGGTGCTGTTAGGTAGCTACCTCAAGCACCGATCACCGTCCTCGCCGAACCCGTCGCTTGCGACGAAGGGCTCGATGAGTAAATCAACCAATAGACACAGCCCACTGAGTTTCTCGCCGGATCTTCGCAGTGGGTCGCGTTTCCAATCCGGTGGTAGATTCCCTAAAGCACTGCTCCTTCTAGGTCCAGTGTTAGCAACACTTCCGGTTTGAGCCCCGTGAGCTCACGTGCGCGTCAAAGCGAAGCTAAAATAGCCTCTCAAGACTAGGAAGACAAAAAATATGAACAAAATAAAAACGCAGTAAATAGGTTTTTAAGTACATATCTAAATGAGATTGTTAATGGCGACCTAAAACTGCGCGAGAAAGCGCTACAAGCCCTTTGCTCTTTAAAATCTTGAAATGGGGATTCGACGGTCAAGTAAAAAGGCAACGCATGAGTTATTTAGAAAGTTCAACTCCCACAAACCACTTCAAAGTCCCAGCTGTGAGTGATACCAGTCAGTGATAATCCAGCTACTCAAGTGATCCACCCATAACTATATTCATGCAACATTACAAATAAAAGTATGAACGCGACGCGACGCAAGCTTCTTTAAACTCCCTCCTGGCCAAACCGCGCTCACCTGTCCTGGCGAAGCTGTAAAGGTTTTCGGTTTTCCTTCCGTTTTGCAGTAGTATCTTATTTTTTAACTTAATTAATTTTCATTAGAGGATTCCCTAACTCCTATCACAACTAGGTAGTTGTAAAATATGTTGAGAGCACGCATTAGCTTATGCAACCTTAACTATTATTTACACAAAACACTGTTTTTGCTGCAAAGTAAATTTCTTATTCGACGTTATTCTGATGTATGTAAGTAATTGAGATTTTGACCTTTCTCCTGGTGTTTGGTGGCTTTCTCCGCAACAATAATGTTGCAATCCCCATCTACGCTAGCAAGATGAATAGAGACATTATTTTTTTCCTGCTTATTCATTAGAACGGGTACATGAACTAACGGACTCAACTGAGAGAATTTGCTAACACTAACCTAAGCAAGAGCCGTGCTTCTCAGTATCTACCACCGGAACGGAATCGCGACCCACTGAGAAGATCCGGAGACTCAATAGGTAACAAATGTAATCTTTGGCTAAAGTTCACACAAATCAATAATATTTTTAGTAAACTAACCTGTACGGACCTACTGGTTGATATATTTCCGGAGATGTTATTATTGTTTTTGTTACTTTATTGTTATTCGAATTTTTTGCTGAACTCATTTTGGGCGAAACTTTGTCTTCGGACGCCAGTGCAGAATCTTCTGAGCTCATTTTTATTCTTTAGATGTAAATAGGTCAATAGTTCAAATGACAAAACGATAACACTATCGGTGTTCAGATAGTAAGAGTATGAAATACCTACATAAATGTTATTTTATTATAATTATTCCACAAAAATCATTAAGATTCTCAAAAAGTCATAGAATACTTTGACAATGTATGACTTTGTATGACATACAATCTTAATTAGATTATCGCCAATTCAGATAGTTTTCGTTTAAATTGAATAAAATAATTTTATTCCCAAAACGAGTTGAAATTACGAACTTTTTTTGATTGATTTTGTGTTTGTTGAGAGAGTTTTATTCAACATGCATTCATTTGAAAATAACACTCCGCACCAATGCAACTACTATGTAGCCAAGATACACAGCGGCGTCCCATATTAGAGACTTCTCTTACTGCTATAGGTATAGATATAGATCGGTATACTACACAATCAACAGGATTTTTGTTAGAGCAGTGGCGGGTACAAAGACCACCACCACGTCTAGGTAGAACGACTTCGACCTATTTGGAGGAAGCCGGAAAAAAGTAATTAAGGCAAGAGAAAAGGAAGAATAAAAGATGACAGTCACAGAAGAAGGAGATAAGAAAAAATCTGTAAAGGCTGTATTCAGACATTAATAAAAATATTAAATAAATAACGAAGTTTCATTAAAAAGACTAGATGAAGGAACTTTATTGGTGACACCGATGTAAATTTTTAGAGTTATTCTTCCTCCTGCTATTAAAGTTATGATAAAAATGAACATGTTTGAACTTTGTTTTAGATAGAAGACAGTTTGACAAAGATAGTTTGACAGCAAAGGAAAACTCATACACTGTTGGGCGAGGCAAATTTTACTAATGGTGTTTGTTATCTCCATTTGAAAACTGTTTCGAATTGGAGAAAGGAGTTAAATTAAATGATACAAATTTTTTTCCTAATCCTATTATTAAGAAACAAATAAAATAGAAAAACAAAATTTAAGTGGTTACTGGAGCCTATTGAAATCTTTTTTTTTATTTTTTTATTGCTTGGATGGGTGGACGAGCTCACAGCCCACCTGGTGTTAAGTGGTTACTGGAGCCCATAGACATCTACAATATAAATTGTAGATGTCTTGCCACCCACCCACCTTGAGATATAAGTTCTAAGGTCTCAAGTATAGTTACTACGGTTGCCCCCACCCTTCAAACCGAAACGCATTACTGCTTCACGGCAGAAGTAGGCAGGGTGGTGGTACCTACCCGTGCGGACTCAAGAGGTCCTACCACCAGTAATTACGCAAATTATAATTTTGCGGGTTTAATTTTTATTACACGATGTTATTCCTTCACCGTGGAAGTCAGTCGTGAACAATTGTTGAGTACGTATTTCATTAGAAAAATTGGTACCCGCCTGAGATTCGAACCCCGGTGCATCGCTCAACACGTGTGCACTGGACGTCTTATCCTTTAGGCCACGACGACTTTGTAGATGAAAATAAAAAAGGAGGGGTGAAAGAGCATCAGCAAGAGAATAGTTGAAATATCACCAACATTAAGCTTGCACTTTTTTAAAAGACAATTGATCCTAACAGACGACTCTCCTGTGGACAAAGAATAAGATGCTAGGTGTACTGGTAATCAGCGATGCGATTGCAGTGGGGAAATCCCACAGATAGATACAATTTTATCTAAAAACTACATAACAAGTGTTCACGAATTATTTCCACGATTAAAGAATAGCATTGCGTATTAAAAGATAAAACACAACAGTTTTTATTTTATTTGCTTGTCTAATGGGAACATAGGTAGGGAATTGTGAGCCCGCATAAATACCTATTTTCTACTGCAAAGCAGTAGGTAATTGAAATTCCTTAAGATATAAGGTTGATAAATTACCAATCATTAATATTAGCTTTTAGTCATTGAAGACTCAGTGGACCACTCCAGAAATGCCATCTTGATTGTACTTCAGAATGTCTACCGTAACTTCCATAGGTAGTAAGTTTCGTCGGCAGTCGGCATTGTTGACATCAACGAAAGACAGTGGCCGCACACCATCAGGTGGGCCGTAAGTTTTTGTACCAATAGTAGTAGTAAAAATGAAATAAAATAAATTCCATTCCATCCAATTCCATGTCTATTGTAAAGCTATTAATACCCCGTAAACAGTGCTGGATTAAGCAAGCGCGGGGCCCGTAGCAAATTATTTCAAAGAGCCCTTGATCTACTATGGGTTCTTAAGTATAAAGTGGTAAAAAAACACTGTGTCGGGTAAGTGCTTGCATACGTCAGACTTTTTGTAGAGCTGATTATCAGGCTGATTGAAATTCTACACGTTTATACAAACAACTTTTTCTTAAGAAATAAGTCACTCAAAAAATTAAGCTCGGGCAGAGATGAGTGGGTTTAAATATGCGGGGCCCCCGTTCGCGCGGGGCCCGTAGCAATTGCTACTCTTGCTATATGGTTAATCCGGCACTGCCCGTAAAGCTGTACAGACTCCCGAAGATTATTTTAATGCAAAGCATAGAATAACAGAATAACAAAGAAATCAACAAAAATGACAGTAATTGGAGCATAGCAATAATAATAAACAATAGCAATCAGTAATTATGAATACGGTTCTTCGCGGACTCTCCCAAAAAGGTCATAAAACTTTCAGTAAGCTCCAACCTTTTGAACAATTTAAACTAAGAGATTTTTCATCTGCATTTATGAGCTGTTTTAATGTTATTCCACTTTACTTTTCAGACAATAGACGAGAACCAAGAATATGATTCGAGTTTTGTTATTTGTTTGTATGGCAGTATTCCCTTTGCTTATCCGATGAATACAAAAAAAAACAAAAATTAACACTGTCAAAAGTGTCAAAAAGAAAATTGAATGAAGGGAAATTCGGGACAGCGGGCGGACAAATAAAGCGAATTTCGAATCCTTCATTTTAAATGTTATTTAGAATAAACAATACTGTCTATAGTGCAATAGAGTTTTACATCAGGTAAAGTGGAATTTCCGAACAGATGTTATGGAGCCTTTTTTGTAACCTATTTTTTCCGTATTATTACGCTTATATCAAGTAAATTCATTTAATCGTATATATTCTATTTTCAGGTAAAATGCAGAAGCTATTTTCGTTAGTTAAAGTGGCTAATAGCTTAATAGGAGGGAATGTACTACCAATATTAAATAGGATTTCTCAGCCTTCTGTTACAAATTTCGTAAAACCTGTGATCCCATTAGTCACGCAAATTTCTGGTATAAAAATTAAAGGTCGCGTACGGAGACGTTGCAGGTCGTGTTATTTTGTGTTTCGAGATGAGAGAGTTTATATTATGTGTTCAAAGTTTCCGAGACACAAACAAATGTCAATGAAACCAAAGCCACATAACACATGGATTTTGACACAAGCGAGCCAGAGTCCAGTCAGACCCTGGTAATTAAGAGTGCTTATGGATTAATTAATATATTATGTATGTACAATGTAATTTAGTTTCTATAGATAATAAAATCAAAAATGCAGAAGCTGTTGATTTTGCTTTCATTTGTGGACTTATTAGTTCATATTTTTTCTATTGAAAGCTGACCCATTTCATAGATAATAATGAATTTCAACTACTTCCAATAACTTTTCTCACTTGTAATTTTTGGATTTATTAAGCAAGTCAGTTATATCACTTCTTTGTTACCAGACTACACTATAAAGAGGACTGAAACATTCCACTGGTTTTACAATAGTACCTCAGTGTATTATATCCCATCCCCATTAGGTTCAACTAGCTTTTTCAGACCCCAATTTTTGCTAACTTTTAACTTTTTCTCAACATTAAAATTACTATATTGTATCAACCCATTGCAATGTCAGTGTGGAATCTAGTATATAAGCCATCACTTATACAAGGTAGTTTATTTCCCCGCTCCTATTTAGTTTATTTATTAACGATATTCCCCAGTCGCCGCCGACCCAGCTAGCCTTATGACGACACAACCGTTTACTACTCAAGTAGAAAAAAGTCCCTAATCGTGAGTAAACTCCAAAGCGCAGCGCTAACCCTCGGACAGTGGTTCAGAAAATGGCGCATAGACATCAACCCAGCAAAAAGCACAGCAGTGTTATTTCAAAGAGGAAACTCACCGCTTATTTCCTCCCACATTAGGAGGAGAAATATCACCCCCCCGATCACCCTCTTCGGCCAACCTATACCCTGGGCCAGGAAGGTCAAGTACCTGGGTGTCACCCTGGATGCATCCATGACATTCCGTTCGCATATAAAAACAGTCCGCAACCGTGCCGCATTTATTCTCGGCAGATTTTATCCCATGATCTGTAAGCGGAGTAAAATGTCCCTTCGAAACAAGGTGACACTTTACAAAACTTGCTTAAGGCCCGTCATGACTTATGCGAGTGTGGTGTTCGCTCACGCGGCCCGCACACACATAGACACCCTCCAATCCCTACAATCCCGCTTTTGCAGGTTAGCCGTTGGGGCTCCGTGGTTCGTGAGGAACGTTGACCTACACGACGACCTGAGCCTCGAATCAGTCCAGAAATACATGAAGTCAGCGTCGGAACGGTACTTCGATAAGGCTATGCGTCATGATAATCGCCTCATCGTTGCCGCCGCTGACTACTCTCCGAATCCTGATCATGCAGGAGCCAGTCATCGTCGACGCCCTAGACACGTCCTTACGGATCCATCAGATCCAATAACCTTTGCATTAGACGCCTTCAGCTCTAACACTAGGAGCAGGCTTAGGGACCCCGGCAACCGTACTCGTCGAACTCGACAAAGAGGTCGACGTGCAACCTAACCCATGCATCAGCCCGCTGAGTTTCTCGCCGGATCTTCTCAGTGGGTCGCGATTCCGATCCGGTAGTAGATTCATTTGCGAAGCAATTGCTCTTGAGTTTTTAGGTCTCCTTCGGAGGCGCTCGGGCAGTTGTTAGCAAATCCCAACCCTCCTGGCTGAGCCTTTGCTCGCCCACATGTCCTGGTGAAACTGGAAAGGCCTCCGGGCCACGAGTAATCTTTCAATCATAAAAAAAAAAGAAATTGCACAAGGGGGTACAGTCTGATGCTTTGTATTTAAGTCAACAGCTTCACCTATATTAATTAGATGGTTACTGGTGCCCAATATGGCAGCACCTTAACACATGGTGTGTCAATTGTAGTTGCCTTTTACTACGGCTATCCTATACCTGATCTAATCTGAACGTATTACTACTTCGTGATAGAAATAGGCAGTATGGCGGTAGCTACCAGCGTGATCTTACAATATTAATTCGCCTTAACAATATTAATTGATCAAAGTAATAAATTTTGCAGTTTTATTATTTTTATGTTTCTTTCATTGTGGAAGTCATTCATGAAAATGTGTTGATTATGTACTTCATAGAAAAATAGTACCTGCTTATGTGATTTGAACCGCGTCTTTTCCTTAGGCTACGACTTTTAAACATTCCCACGTAGTTTTATAAAAAATGCATTTGCAACGAGTATTCTTACTCGCCCCGTTTTTTGTTACTTTTTCGTTTTTTTAAACGTTACTTAGGAAGCGTCAATGTGTGCTAAAACAGCATAACAGCCAAAATTTTTAATACCTATGGTAAAACGGGGAAGGCAGCATAATTGTCAGAGGCTGGATGACCAGTAGACAGCATGAACTGTTCATTGTATGTACTCGTAGTACTAAAACTTAAGAGTATTATCGACATTTGTTGCACACGAATAGTTTTAGGCATACTATTTATTGTTGTTTGCTGTTTGTGGTGTTTCAACAAATCTTTCCTGTTCTACCCTCACTTTCAATGTTTTTTGAGGGTACAAATATATTAATAAAAGAAAGGAATGTCATAAAAGAACAAAATAATATTTTAAATAACTTTAATTACGTAAAGGAAAATAAATATTTAGCCACATTTAACACTTCCAATTACTTGGATGTAATTTAGAAATCTTCATTCAACTTTCATCAATTAGACCGTTTGAATCAGCATTATTGAGATCTAAAGTACTGAAACAAGAACAAAGATTATTGTACTAGTTGTGACGCACGGTTTTACCCATATTGTTATTCAGATAAGAGAGTTGCTCGTGCTCTGGTCCATAAACGAACGGACACACAAATATTTATTTATTAAAGCAGATTTACCAGGTGTTTCACGGATCAAGTAATCTATGTTTCAAGTTACAAGCAGTCTTTGTATATAATTTCTCTAAATTATAAACACTATTATTTACCGGGTTCGATTTCACGAGTTCCCGACATTTCAGCGTTGTTGTAAGCGCCACTACTTTGAAAAAGCGGCGCTTCACAATAACCCTGTTATCGTAGCCGCCACCAATTACATATCCAATTGAGGCGACAGGGCAACGGAAAGCTGCCGTCGCCCAAAACATATACCTATTGTCAGATCCACCATCCAGATTTTTTTATAAATAATTAATTACCTGATTCGTGAAACGACATCATCAATATCCTCAGATTGAACTGATGACACGTTTTGATTCAAAATGTGTTCAGATCCATTACTATTTTGCACATTATCTGTTATTATAATTTCAGTTTCTGCATTATCATGATTTTCGTTGACATTATCTTCAGTTTCATCTTTTATTTCAATTGGCACTTGATTAATATTTGTTCTTATACCGGCTATTCCTAAAATAATAAAATAAAATAAAGAAACTATAATATTTAAATGTACCTACATAATACAATTGAAATTTTCAGTTTTCTCATTTTCGCTCCAATAATTGCTAAATATTCTTACGATATTATAATGACGTGAGGTAATAAAGAGCGCCTGAATTTGCTGTGATAGCACCACGGAAACACTTCTGCCTTCTTCTTCAACATGTGTACCCACCCAATGCTGAGTGTAAGTCTCTTCATATTCACTCCATTGGTTTTGGTCTAGTGCTTTTCGCAACCAGTCCTTACCAGCTATTTTGGCGAGGTTGTCGGTCCAGCTCACTGGTTGTCTACCTACGTTACGTCGTCCAGTACAAGGTCTCCACTCTAGTACTTTTATGCCCTACCGATTATTAGTGTGACGGCATATGTGGCTGGCCCACTTCCACTTTCTCTGAACAATCACTTTGGCTATTTCAGTAAACCAGTTCGCCTGGCTGTTTCGGCATTTTACACATTATATAAATATATAAATAGAAGTTTTTGGAACATACTCAGCTTATAATATGATATCTGTAGCCTCGTCAAGAAAAGCAGAGCAGGCTGCAGCGTCTAAGGTAAAATACGGCGTAAAGGTTACTAAGGTCTACATAACTAACATTTCTGAAATCCAGATTTAATCTGGAATACCCGCCGATAAGTCTCTTTTTTTTTTCGTTCTATGACTTTTAGATTATAATTTTTTAGTTGGAATTAAAATGCTAAAAATGCAATCGAAAAGAAAATTGCGCGGGTCCATGTTTTACCAAGGGAGGAGTCCACATAGGCCATGTCAGCTGTAAGTAAAAATTACCCTAGGCTAAATTAAGTATTATTATCCAGATTCAGACGTCCTCTACTAACCTGCTGTATATTTTTATATATCATATTTTGACTTAAACATAATACGTATAAAAGGCTATTTTGTTTAAGCGACATTTTGCGGGTTTACAGAAGAGCCATTTTATGTTTAAAAATTGGAAAAAATATCAAAACAAACACGCTTCTTTATCTATTTTAATGGAATAAACTTAAAGTTCAATTAACAATACAGAATTGTTGATGCTAAGACCAAATAAAACGCAGCTTTAATTACAAAGATAAGTGTCGCGTATTAAGCGAGATTTCGCTTAAACCAAATAGCCTATCAACCCTGGATATTTAAAAAAAAATTACCTTTGGCAGGTAGCCGTGGGGTATCCCTTTGCACCCGCCGCCTGCGAGTATGATCACTTCTACGGAATTGAGTCATTGCTTGGAAGTCAACAATGTACAAAGTCCCAGCCAGTAGTAAAGTACACTCTGATTCTCCATTATTGAAGGCATTTTCTAATTCAGAGTTGCTACGCTCATCATATTTCCACCAACCTAAACAAAATCTACTTTTTGCATTATTTTCATTTTACTCAGCATATAAAGTTAGAAGTAAATTAAGTTAGTTTGCTGTAGTTTAGATTTTAGTTCTTTATTTTCCATTCATAATGTTTTATATTACTATTTATTTCTTTTTCTTTATTGCATAGATGGGTGGACAAGCTCACAGCCCACCTGGTGTTAAGTGGTTACCGGAGCCCATAGACATCTACAACGTAAACGCCGACACCCATCTTGAGATATGAGTTCTAAGGTTTCAGTAGTTACTGCCCCACCCTTCAAACCGAAACGCATTACTGCTTCACGGCAGAAACAGGGTGGCGGCATCTACCCGTGCGGACTCACAAGAGGGACCTACCACTAGTAATTATGCAAATTATAATTTTGCTGGTTTGATTTTTATTACACAATATTATTCCTTCACCTGGAAGTCAATTGTGAACATTTGATAAGTACGTATTTCATTAGAAAAATTGGTACCCGCCTGGGATCTGAACACCGGTGCAAGGCTAAACACGAACGCACCGGACATCTTATCCTTTAGACCACAACAACTTCTAAAACTTACCATTTCTTCTAAATCTTACTTACCATTTCTTCCTTCATAATACCATTGGAATCCTTCTACTCCATCAACATTGGCAGCATACTGAAGATTAGACTTGTCCAATAGAACAGGGTTTTCAAAGTAGTCTAAAGGAATTTCTGTGCGACACATTGCACATTTTCTGCTTTGATGAGCTACACCCTAAGGATTGTTATATGTCACAATTATCTCTTGTTCAAGAATGTCTGAGGCTTAATTTGATAGACTTATACTTACTTACATAACTGTATATATAGTTAGTGATAGGACTAGAACCTCTCACAGGTACCACATTTTCCAAAACCTTACCACTGTTAATTATTAACTTCAGTGATGTAGGACTCAGATAGTGTATATTTTATTTAAAATTTGTGGTATTGTAAGTCTGTATGTGTTAGTTTTTTTTATTGCTATGACTGATGATGAAGTATCACACTAAGTGGGTATGAGACCTTAGGTAGGTATTATTTACTACAACTATCCATTGCCATTCTTACTATACATAATTATTTAGTTTAATGGCTGTCCCCAGAATGCATTACTTCATGGTGAATGAAGATTGTGAAAGGTTGGTGGTAATTACTTCTACAAGCTCACAAGATGCCTTACTACCAATAATAAAGCAAATATATATTGTTTTTTTCTTGTCTGCTTTTTATTATACAATTTTATTTCTTAATGATGAATTTTTGTTTATTGTAAGCTGACTAGCACACAGCCTAATTGACTGCCGCTCTTGGCCATCAGTAATCCCAGAGGTACAGCCAAACAACTACCTACTGTTAATGTGTTATGTACAAAGTAATTTAGTATCTGCTAGCAGGATTTGTGTAAGCCCAATGTCTTATCCTTTACATCACAAAAAATTCAAGACCTTAGCGACACCACTCTGCCCATTTCCATCCCGAAGCAGTGGCTTGGAAGGTGGAACAGCCGTTATACAAATCCAAAGTTTGGCCTAAAGTCTGAAATTGGGGGCTGCACTCAAATTATTGTGATGTCTATGCACTCCGAAATGATCAGCATGGTTCTAGGTTGGCCATGAGCCCGTCCAACATTATAGAATAACAATAATTAACAAATACTAAAACTACAGGGCTATATTTCGTTTATTTAAAAAAAATAACAAAATACTTCAAACCTTCACACAAAGAAAACAGAAAACATGACCGCAGGATAGTTTTGTTGGATGTTGACATTTTTGCAAGCAAACAGCACAATCATATTCTGTGAATCAGGAAATAATTTTGATAAATATTTTCTACGAATCATATTGATTACCACCACTATCAACTTTTCTTAAAACATGACTTACCCATATTATGTGAGAAAATTAATACAGCATGCTTGAGTACACATAAATTATCTCATACTTATCTACCCATTTCCAAATTACTTAAATATGTGTGTAGTTTTGTAGTTTTTCATAATTTTCTAACGTTTCAAATTAACTTTGGCTGGATATGGACAAATATTATTGTGTTTTATTGTATGGGACTGACTTCTCTGTGAAATATGATGTGTATTATCTATGGAGACTATTTTTTTAAGGATTTTATGACCTGGTATCTAAGACCTTCGGTCTTATTAAATTTTTGAAGTCGTCGTGGCCTAAAAGATAAGACGTCCGGGACATTCGTGTTGAAGCAATGGACCGGTGTTCGAATCCCGCAGGCGGGTACCAATTTTTCTAATGAAATACGTACTCAACAAATGTTCACGATTGACTTCCACGGTGAAGGAATAACATCGTGTAATAAAAGTGAAACCCGCAAAATTATAATTTGCGTAATTACTGGTGGTAGGACCTCTTGTGAAACCGCACGGGTAGGTATCACCGCCCCGCCTATTTCTGCCGTGAAGCAGTAATGCGTTTCGGTTTGAAGGGTGGGGCAGCCGTTGTATCTATACTGAGACCTTACAACTTATATCTAATGCCGGCCACTGACATGCACGCAAATATTCGCATGTGAAGGGCCGTCAAACATTCATTCGCAAACCTAGCGGCTGTGCAAATGGGTTCGCATACTCAATTTGCGAACCCGTTTGCGCTTCCTCCTACACTTGTTTACGAATGTCTCACGAATTTCTCCTCCTTTTTAATTCGTCAATAGAACATTGAAGAGAAAAAGAGTTTTTAATTCTTTCCCAGACATCATTAACAGCCATGCTGTTTTTATGGGATTTCTTTTGATGAAGATACGCTACACAGTAGACGTCACGAACTATGAAAATGGCGTATAGTATACGTCCGTTACCTTCGCAATCGTCGGCGCAACTGGGCAAGCGAATGTGTGGGAGACTACGCGAAGGTTCGCGCGCTTTGATGTCTGTTAAGAAACCGACACAGCTTGGAAAACCACGAATGTAGCGAAAACTTTGCATAATCATTTGCAAATGTCGTCCTACACTTGCGGGTTTGCGTATTCGTGCGCATGTGAGTGACTGGTGTAAAGGTGGGTGGCACATTTACGTTGTAGATGTCTATGGGCTCCAGTAACCACTTAACACCAGGTGGGCTGTGAGCTCGTCCGCCCATCTAAGCAATAAAAAAAATAATGATATTCTTATTTTTATGAAAAATTATAATATGGAGTGAAATGAAATGAAGATGATCAATTTAAGACATTAATCAACTGGGATGAAATAAAATAAAATGAGATAAGGTGATATGGGATGAAAATATATAATCTCAGTAAAATGGTGGTCATATACTGAGATTTTTTCAGTGGACTTTTTGGAAGATCCCGAGAAGTTACGTCCAGTGGCTTTGTTTTATTTTCCCACATTTGTGAGCTTACAACGATATTAAACGGAAGGCTTCGCTGCAAAGGAAACTGAGTCCGTGCTGAAAGTGTGGACATCACCCATAGTATTGCGGTATTTTTCAGTTGGTGATTATAGTCACTCATCGTATACAGGTTAGTCTCTCAGTACCTAACCACCATTTTTCTGTCGTTTGAACTCTTGGCAAAGTGGTCGTGGTCATCATTTCGGGTGGTGGTGCCGTTCACAAGACGTCACCATTCCTCGCGTACCGCGGCTCTTCTTGTGCACTCGTTGACGGGACCGTTTAGAACTACCTTTATTTGGTCGGTCCATCATAACGGTTATAGATTATACACTTAATATGATAACGGTGATCTGCCGCGCGGTTCTCTACCCTCAATCATGCCCTGCACCACAAGTCGCTCAACTGAGTCGTCACTCCGTCGCGACACATGTCCGAAGAAAGTGAGAATGCGACCTTGAACAAGGGAAGAGAGACACTTCTTGATGCCGAGTACATGTATGTACAATATATATAATAATACGTGAAGCAAAAACTTTGTATCCCTTTTCACGAAAATTGCGCGGACGGAAGAGTATGAAATTTTCCACACTTATAGAGAATATCTTTGGATACGCTTGAACCGCTTTGGACAGTACAGTGTACAGCGCGCTGCATGACGCCGTGGACAGGGGAAAGTGGAAAAAGATCCTAAGATTGAAGCTCATAGGTGATGGTGGTCACGACCCTCAGACATGAGGAATACGACTCGAGGAGGATAGAGAATATAGAAGAAGTGCACAATGCTAATATTTTTTTAAAATAATGCATAAAAGATACATTAAATCAATAAAGAAAAGATTACACACACTAAATACCATGTATTTGACGCACACACGCATGCATACTCTTTATTGTCAAACTTTTGTTCTTGACGTCTGTTGTCAAATTGAGATTAAATATTGTTAATTATTGTTTGTCTTCGTTAATATTTTTTATAGTGTAGTCTTGGCGTAATTTGTGATTATAGAAGTATAAAATACAATCATAATAGTGTACAAACTTACAATTCCAATTAATTATAGTCGAATTTCGACTACTGCGGGTCCTCTAGTTAGATAAAATCATAAAAGACCTTTTTTGTAGAGCGTAAAATTTTCTACAAGAATTATTGTTTGCCGACATGATGTGTTCATCCGTTAATGACGTAAAAAATTCCAAAGTAATAACAGATTTTTTCCCTATTATTTCCATTTAAAATTTTGGGTATCGGAGGGGCCGGGTTAAAATTAAAATTAAGAGCTATAACTTGACATGAATTTTTTTTAATAGATTTAAACCGATTTAAGACTACCGTGAAATTTTTTCGGACAAACCCTAAATAAGGATCACCTTGTTTTTTTTTTCCACAAGAGAAAATCGCCGGATCCCCGCATATCCCTTGAACCTCACTAAAAACTCCTGCCGCTCACAGCCGGCGCCCTACCCCGGACCGAGTGGGAACCCAGTCGGAGCTATTGAGACGGCGGGACAGGGTTTACGCAGAGCATATTACATCCTCCCGCGGTCCCCTAGACGCCGGGCCGGCGGCCGCCAGCGACACGACCACCGGTTCTCTCGGTCGACAGGCCAAGAGCCCCCGCATTAATGGCGCCGCGCTACACCTTCCCCCGGAGCGGTCGGGGGAACGCGGCTTAGGGTCAATTCCTACTGAAAGAGCAGCGGCGCGCAGCGGCCGTAAGAGCAAGTGACTGAGCGCGGCGCCGCAAGGGCCAGTGTGGCGCCGCGCGGGGCAATGCGGCGCCGCGAGAGGCAGCGCAGCATCCGAGGCGCCGCAATGAGCCTCCACGTGGTAGCTTTGAAAACTAGTGTGCGATCTACTTCACTCAAGGAAAGTTGTGTGGCAATAAATATGGTGGATTTGGATTTATGTATCATAGCACTGGCTGTAGAAGAAGAACAAGATACCCTCTAATAAAATGACGCGAAATGCGCAAGCGGCAGGGCGGGCGGGTATGAAATGGTCGCTCGCGCGCAGCCGCGAGTCTGTCAGCTGCNAGTTGTGTGGCAATAAATATGGTGGATTTGGATTTATGTATCATAGCACTGGCTGTAGAAGAAGAACAAGATACCCTCTAATAAAATGACGCGAAATGCGCAAGCGGCAGGGCGGGCGGGTATGAAATGGTCGCTCGCGCGCAGCCGCGAGTCTGTCAGCTGCACCGCGGTCGGCCGCACGTCAGCTAGCTGCGCCGCGGTCAGCCGCGCGGCGCCTCTTTTGACTAGTCGGTAGAAGGCTCGTGCAACCTCGCGACGCCACGCTACCCCTCCTTTGCCTTCAAATGACTATGAACTTTTTAATCACGTAGATAAGATTCAAAATAGTTTGTAATATTTTGCCTCAAAAAGACGCTGCCGGCCGCTGCTCTTTCAGTGGGAATTGACCCTTACCACGCCGCCCAACGCCTAGGCTCCTTCCCGCACAAAACCTAGTGCATATTCATCAATCTACGCAAACTGAATCATGAGCTTTTTTGTTTGAATAGCCTTTAATTTAACGAGTTGTAGTTTTCTTTTTGGATACTTTTGGGTATATTTTAGCATGAAGGGAGTATGGGTAAGCGAACTCTAATGATAGGGCGGGCGTATTTGGTAACAAATCGCCAATACCCTCCTAGGGCCTAACAGATTCCGCAGTTGGTTGAGAAACTCGGTCAATCGACGCAATAGGCAGTATCACAATAACTTACTGTACACCTAACAACAATAAGAACGGACTAAATGTCAGAAATCACATTGTGATGTGTGTGTTATACTTACCTTCGTTATTATTTAATACCATACATATTCATTTTAAATATCTACATACAGTTTTGTTTCTTTATTTGGCACAAAGATGCTGTTTTATTATTTTAAAAACAACATTTACATTTCATAATATTGCACAAATCTAAATTATACGTAACTAAAATTAGGACCATCGGTGGGCCGCCAAAAATGTCTAAGCCATTCGATTGACCAGACTACTGTTAAAATTACGGAGCAGCTTCGGTATAAAGCTATATAAAGACACTGAGTAAATATTGAACTAAGAAATATGCATTCACTACAGTAAATCAAATGATTATTATTAGGCAACGCAGAACTGAATAAGATTTTTGTATTGATACAAAAAACGAAATCTCATTTAAATGTTAGAACATAGTAGGACATATGTGGTTTTAGCACCATTACCAACAAAATTTCATTATATTGAACCATTAGGCAAGACATTGGTGTTTTTCCTTAAAAACCAAAAGTTGATATGAATATCCACATACCTCAAAAAACTAAATGGGGAATTAAAAGTGATGATAAAATGGACCACAAGCTTCAACTGTACCAGCATCAGAAGAAAAAATATTGACGTGTCATTTTTACACATTTGATATATATGGTGATTAGTAAGATTAGCAATCAAATTATTTCATTTATCAAATCATATTTGCCAAACAAAATAATAAAGAATCTGTCTTCTTGGCAAACATTCATAGTCATAAGCCCTCTGCGGTGTGTTATAATTTGTCATGCAGGGATCAATGGTATTGCACTATACGCCTCCAAAATACTTTCGCACAATATCTCAGTATCTCTTCCGACCTACGAATAATAAAACTATAGAAAAGTAATTACGCTTCAAAAATGGTAGTATTGATTTTAAGTTTAATTTTCATTTTTTCATCTCATGTACTAATTTATAAACTGCATTTATTTTCATTGCAGTAATAAAGTCATTTAATAAAAAAAACGAGAAAATATTTCATGATTTCATTACTACTGCATAACATTATCGTCATAAAGGTGCACCGGGTGGCGCTTGCGAACCGTGTTCTTGGCGCGACTAATCGCGTGCAAGCGTTTGCTTACGAAAAAGTGTGAGTGTTCGTTGTATTTGATTTTATTTGTGGGCGTAAATGGAATCATAATCTAAAGTGCCATTGAAGGCGAGTTACTGTTCCATAGTTTTATTATTCGTAGCTTTCGTCACTTCATCCAATCATTTTAGATCTCTGTGTACAGGGCAAATTTTTTTCATTGTCATTTTACTGTTCACGCGAATAGCAAATAGACAGCTCAAACAAAAAAAATATTTCAGGGTAATCTCAACTCTTACTCTTAGAGTAGGTTCAATCTGTCGGATTGATTTCTGATCAGTACCTACATCAGTCACAATATGAGGCATTTGTGGGTAAATCAAAGATTCATCTGTTTCAACATTTCAATAGAGTTCAATTCAATGTTCTATACTCAATTAACAGTAGAGTCAGTAGATTTTAAAATTAAGATTGAGTAATGTTAATTTAATAAAATTAAATAGTGAAATTAAAAGTAATGTAGTTGTAGACATTTATTCCCCATCTTATAAACATTTGTGTTACACAAATTAATCTGGAATGACCTGAGAAAATAAACTTTTACTTGGTACTTTCACTTATCTAATTGTGTTATGTAAAAAATCAAACACCCTGAGTTTACTTGTCTCTAACTTTGATAAGATCATTTAAGTCTAATGCTACACATATTTCCTTGGAGTCTGTGCGTGGATTGCGATCCAGTATTTCGGTTATGGGGTAATAATTGTCACGGTTGTCAACATTCCACCCAGAATACTGAAAGAAATAAATAAATAAATAAATTAAATAACCTAACTTTAGATACTACACAAAAATTATTACAATTACTCTAGTGTGTTTTAAAAGTACTGATATGTATAATTACAAACAAATGATCTACATGCGTCGTCACCAATATGTATTAAATCAAATTAACCTTTTTTTTTCCTACCTAATTTTTGGTAGCCTAAGGGGCTATTCCGAACTCACACAGACCTCTAGGTGAGCTCAACTTGAGAGAATTAGCTAGCCCTAGCAAGAGCAGTGCTTCATTGAATCTACTACCGGATCAGAATTGCAACCCACTGCACCAAAATTCAGTGAGAAACTCAGTGGGTTGGGTCTATGTGCTAGTTTGCATGTCAAACTCTTGATTGGTCAAATTAAGTCAAGGATCCCTGTTGTAGTAATTGGGACAGCAATGATACATGTCAGTAGACTCAGGCATTCACATTTTCGCATCTATTTCCTTTGGTAACCATCTAATTTCAGGTGAGCTATGGAACTGACTTGCTCATTTCTAGTAATGTAATAAAGAAAATTTTGTATTTATTTATTACATAACAAATATATTAATTTCCAAATTTAAATTAACTTACCACACATGTACATTTGTGTAAAACTCTTCCATTTGATTCCATTGGGATAAATTTCTGTAATAATGCTTTGCCATCAATTTTCCACAAGTTCAGTTCATCAAGTTTTGATATTACAGTATCTCCATCCCATTTTACATCTGATTTCAGCAAGACAAAATTTCCTGACTGAAAAAAGTTATTATTATGGATAAAATATAACCATTCTAAATTAATAGTTTAGTGCCATTTCTAAAATATTGTTATTCCAGTACAACTGCAGGCTTTCTCTGGTTGACAGCATGTACACTTTTTTTTTCTTCAAATGTTTCATATTTCTTTCTCTAACATACTTGATTCTCTTACAAGACTGTTCTAATTCACTTTCACATAATATCTATTAAACATGTATGCACTATGAGAATTGAGAAAATACTCAAAAATCAGACAGACCATGAGCCAATCATCAAAATCAAAACTTACATGGAAATGCTTTGGTACATCTTTCGATTGACTTGAATCAGATTTGTTTCCATCGGATCCGTTTTTCTCATCATCAGATCCTTCTTCTTCATCAAGTTCCCCTTCTTCATCCTCGGCTTCTTCATCCTCTTCTCCTTCACCCTCGCTTTCTTCAGATGATGAGTTTTTACGTTTCTTTTTGGTGTTGTTCACCGGTGGCTTTGATACACGTTTTCTGCCAGTACGAGATGCAGGTTCGTTCTGGAAATATTAGTTTATAATTATGAGGTACCTACCTACAAAGCAAATATTATTAACATTTATGATTGTAATGAAAACACATCTTATACCCAATAGGTTTATTTGTATAACCTCTGAATTGGTGACTTACAATGGATGCGTCCATATTCTTAACTATTATTTATTATCATGTTAGGCATCGTTTTTCAGACACAATTACACCGTGTAAGTGTAATTTGGTAGGAAAATAAACACGAAGCAAAGGAACATACCGAATCGGCGTCCGGCGTCCAATCTTCACCAGAGTCCTGAAATTCTTCTGGTTCACCGCCCTGCCCTGACCCATCCGAATCTTCTTCGTTTAACTTTAAAGATTTACGTTTTCTCATTTTCTTTATGGGTATTGTACGAAAAAAGTACGATAGCGAGACAGACCCACGCTAATCGGATTTTACTTTTGGGGAAGCCAATATTCGTGCTTCACTTCATGAAATAATCGGGAGACGCTGTGTGTTACCAGTCGATAAATAATAGTTGATATCAAAGTATCGAAGAGACCAAGCACTCTATGAATAATATTCTTTTTTTTAAGGAACTTTATGACCTGGTAACTAAGACCTTTAGGTCAGGTCTTATTTTAATGTTAATTAAAACATTTTTTTAGGAAAAATGATAGAAATGAAATGAAATGAAAACGGAAAGTATAAGTATAAATCTCAGTAAAATGGTGGTCATTTACTGAGACTTTGGGAGGGACTTTGTTTCATTTTCCCACATAAATTGTGCACTTTCACAGATACTAAACAGCTAATAAACCACTGTTATTACACATTTAAACCTGAAGAAACACTAAATAGACAAAAAAAAATATCACACAACTTCACTCCTCGCGTTCCCGCCAAAAAGTCCCTGAATAATATTCAAGTCCCTGTGAATCATAGATTATCAAAATAAACCAATCACTGACTTTGGCGGGAACGCGAAGAGTGAAGTCGTGTCTATTATTTTAATGTATTTAATTCAGTGTTTATTATTTAAGTTTATATTTGTATTAATGATGGCTTATTAACGATTTGTGAAAGTGCACAAGTATGTGAAAATAAAGCTGAATAAGGTGGCGCCACCCTAACAGATAGTTTTTCGCCGAAAAAAATTCCTGTTTAAAACACAGACAACAAGCTCCTTACCGACTCTCCATAAACAAACGAAACCATTCTCGCCAAAAAGTCACATATTATTTCTTTTCGTCTCATTTCACTACATTTAATTTCATTCATTTTCACACCAATTGATTACTAATTCAGATAAATCAACTTCTGCAATTAAATGCCATAACGTCATGTAATGAAATGGACTTGATTTATTTATTTAATATGAAACGAAAGACTAATACCCGCCATTTCATTTTTAAAATTTTAAGGCCGCAATAAATTAAAATCTGGCGTTAAAAAACGTGAACTGAATTTCTTCAGTGATTCACTTCACACATGAATTTCTCCACGTAACTGCTTCATCACCGATTCAACCGGGAACAAGTCACTCACAGTCATCCAGTTCGAAATTAGGATTCCATGTACTTACTATAGGAACCTAAGACTGCTATAGTTTAAACATATATAGACAATAACAACAACTCAGACAAAGAACAAGCAAACTTATTCATAATACTTACCAAATTCATAATGTTTACCAAATATGGGAATCGAACACACGATCCTTGGCGCAACATTCGGAGGCGCCAAATACTGCACCACAGAATCAGTCAAATCTTTATTAAACTCACATATTATATCACCTGTTGGATTTAGCTATTAGTCTTCTTTTTTTAGATTAGATAGTGCTTTCACGGGTTTTTTTTAAATTAGACTAGTTGATACTTTAAGATAAGTAAGTTAGAGGGTTATGTAACACCGGTTACTCACATGCGCACGAATACGCAAACCCGCAAGTGTAGGACGACATTTGCAAATGATTATGCAAAGTTTTCGCTACATTCGTGTTTTTCCAAGCTGTGTCGGTTTTTAACAGACATCAAAGCGCGCGGACCTCGAACCTTCGCGTAGTCTCCCACACATTCGCTTGCCCAGTTGCGCCGACGATTGCGAAGGTAACGGACGTATACTATACGCCATTTTCATAGTTGGTGACGTCTACTGTGTAGCGTATCTTCATCAAAAGAAATCCCATAAAAACAGCATGGCTGTTAATGATGTCTGGGAAAGAATTCAAAACTCTTTTTCTCTTCAATGTTCTATTGACGAATTAAAAAGGAGGAGAAATTCGTGACACATTCGTAAACAAGTGTGGGAGGAAGCGCAAACGGGTTCGTAAATTGAGTACCGAACCCATTTGCACAGCCGCTAGGTTTGCGAATTAATGTTTGACGGCCCTTCACATGCGCGCAAACATTCGTACAATGTACGAATATTTGCGCGCATGTCAGTGGCCGGCATAAGGAAATATGTAATTTGTTATAGTTAAATTTAATAGAAAAAAGCCGATTCAATTGATTCTTGAAAAAAAGTCAAAAATTTTCATTCAATTCGATTTACAATGCCCCCTTAATTAAAATTATTTATGATTTTTTAAAATTAAGTTGTACCAACAAAATGATCGCCAAATCAGAGCATCGACAAATTTTTTAAGAAGATCACGTAGATTAAGGGTAACAATGATAGTTGAATAGTTGACAACATTTTGAATTTATTTATAAACACGATTAATTGAATAATGGTAAAAAATATAAAATTCAGAATGACACAATTGCACATAAGTACCGTACCTAACTTAATGAAACGAAACAATTAATTATGAAAAAAAAACTTAAGTGACTACGCTTGTAAAGATCATCAAGGTGGCGGCGACAATTGAGATACTTTACGTCCACACGAAATAATATATTCTCTTTAGTACACCTTACGACGGGTAGAATCACAGAACACTATTACTTCTAGCGAAGGGTAGAATACGAATGAAACAGATTTTTTTTTCCTGTCTAGCTAAGAGCCTTTAGAGGCTATTTCAGGGTAACCTTAACTAGTAGGTGAGCTCACGGGGCTCAAGCCTGACGACTTTGCTAACACGAACCCTAACAAGAGCCGTGCTTCGCAGAATCTACCACCGGATTGGAAACGCGACCCACTGAGAAGATCCGGCGAGAAACTTAGTGTGGGTCTGAGGGTATTTATGCCGGTATTTATACAATTGTCTTGACCTATTTTAATACAAACATAATAGGTAATATTAAACATTGTTTATCTTAATTATTCTGCTGATTATTGACGTACAATTGTTATTTAATAATATCGAATTATATAACATAAATAACATTAAAGTTTTATTGCGCCGAAAGCTGTCAAGCGGAAGGCGCCTATAAATATTTTATATGTTTATAGAAATATGAATCAACTATTTACTTGATTATGAAATTACTAATCTTATACTAATATTATAAAGAGGAAAAACTGAACCGATTTGAAAAATTCTTTCACTGTTTGAAAGCTACACTATTCCCGAGTGGACATAGGTTATAATCTTTTTTGAAAAAAATTATGAATCCTTACCAAAACTCCAATAATGTAATCCAAAGTGTAAAAAAATTACCTAAAATATTCTTTACACCGTGTGCCCTGCGAAAACTATGATTGATGATAGAATAAAATAATGTACTACTAGTATCTATTGATGATAGAATAAAATAATGTACTACGACATTGTTATGCCGCAATAAGTGTTATTTTATTTAAAAAAATAAAACAACGTCAAATATCGTTGAAATTTTTGTTAAAGGACCGAGCGGAGCCGGAGCGGGCCGCTAGTTATAATAGAAGACAATAATAAGTTCTATATATGTCGGACTCGGTACCATCTTTTCGTAATTTGAACAATTTTCTACGTGATAAAAAGTTATCTTCCCAGGAGGCAGTACAAATGCTTTTACACAGTAAAGCCATAAATGACCTTCCTATTAGATGGCAGCAATGTATAAATAATAACTGTAGATATATTGATTTAAATAAATATGGTAAATGAAAAAATAAATAAAAAATAAATTTTTTAGTACAAATTGCCAATTTCTTACTTTAACCCATAATATTACACGAAAGACGCCGCAACGATATTTAGAGCATGAAGACAGTAAATTAGTAACATATCAGTTATTTATTCTTATAATTAAGTAGTACTTTTCAATTTAAATTATCAGATCCAATAGCACAGCACTGCGTTAACACAATAGCAGGGCGTATTTTCATTAAGCGGACAAGCTTATTTAGGTGGCTTAAAAGACCGTATGTCGAAAATTCAAGATAATTGGTTGTCATAACAGCTGATTGCGTCACTAGAGTCAAATAACGCAAAAATAAAAAACAAGGCGCAGTAGATTGAGAAGTTGATTACGATTCGATCATCTGAAATTGCAGTGTGTTATTAAATATCAACATGAAATTCCAATACAAAGAAGAACATTCATTTGAGAAGAGAAAGGCTGAGGGCGAAAAAATCCGCAGGAAATATCCAGATCGCGTTCCTGTAATTGTAGAGAAAGCGCCGAAGGCTAGGCTTGGAGACCTCGACAAAAAGAAGTATTTAGTTCCGTCTGATTTAACAGTTGGCCAGTTCTACTTCTTGATCCGGAAACGTATTCACCTGCGGCCTGAAGACGCACTTTTCTTCTTCGTGAACAATGTCATTCCACCCACATCTGCAACAATGGGGTCTCTCTATCAAGAACACCATGATGAAGATTTCTTTCTATACATAGCATTTTCCGACGAAAATGTCTATGGAAATTAATTCCAAATTATTCACTTTCAAATAGTTTTACACTATCTGACCATATGGTGAAATTTAATTTAAGTCTTAGATTAAAATTGTGTATTATTTTATGGTATTTTTTTATTATTAATTGGCATATAATACTATTTTTGTCTTCATATGAATAGTATAAAACTTTTCAAGCAAGTAAGGGATTGCTTTGTTTTCACATCTTTGTTTTGGTTGAGTGTCATCACTGCTGTAATAAAAAATAAATAAAAGATAAAAGCAAATCTTGGTGATTTATTTAAACCTTTTACACTAAAATATAACTATGATATTTTCAAAACAATGATGAATGTTTTCTAATCACTTGAAACACCTAACACATTGTTTTTGTTACACACAAAAGCATTGTTATCTTAACTTGGAAAACACAATTTGACACAAATATTGTAATTTTTTTTTAAATCTCAAAGTAAACCATAAAATTATTTTACTTTGTTACTAATACTACCCCTAATAGTAATTTACAATACTATCAACATCTATTAATCACAGTGGCTATAAACTAGTCATTGACAAAGGAAAGAACTGGTAAATTCCATAATAATTTTGCTATTATAAATGTTTTTGTTTTAAGTAGTTAAGATATCTATAATACATAAGTGACAACCAGTTCATGTTGGCACAACATGTATCTATGTTAGTAGTTAGACTTTTGGTAGACTATGTTTATATTTTTAAAAACAGCCTAGGTTCAACTTCCCATAGGAATGGTATACTAGATTTGCTTTCCAAATAAGAAATTAGTGGATGGTTAAGTACTTTAATAAGATGAGGATATTACTACTCTAGATGACTGAAGTACTATTCCTAGCTCTATATTGGGTGCTCTAGGTCTTACCCAGCTTTTGATTAATAATTTGACAAATTGTAATGGGAGAATCAGAAAAAGTGTCGTCTTTCTAGTTTGGGGACCGATGGATGTCCTTCTTGTCTAAACTCATCATAGGCCTTATGCTTAAAAAAATATCAACTGTGGCTGTTCTTAGTGAACACTTAAGTTTTCCAGAGGGAACTGTTGTTCAGATAGTGCATTTGGTTCTAGGAACAGTTTGAAACACCAAGGTCTTTGGAAAGATTTGTAACGATTTTTACTGATAAACTTATGAAATGATCTCCCCACATTGTGAAATGGTAATTGAAGTTTATAGTGAATAGTAATGGTTTGGCTTTATCTTTGTACTAGATAATAGCAATGATATAAGGTAAGCATTTTTCATCAGGTATGCGCCAGGTGTGGCCTCACTGGCAGTTCATCATAATCTTTATTCATTGACTTCTTTTATGAGAACGATCCATGTTTGATTTGCACCAGATGCGTGGAATACCATCCTTCTGGTTTTGGGTAAGTTGCTTTGCAACAGAGATAAAAAAGACTTACTAATTCGTGGCTTTATCTCTGCTACAATTAACTGATTTATATCATAACATTGTTTCCTTAATGAATTTCTGGGTCAAAATGATTTATATGGTTAATTCACTTATGGTTCGATCTGTGGTTACAATTTTATTTTATGCAGCTGGGAAATGGTTAAAATTAAAACATTTTATTTTCATCACATTTATTACTAAAGGAAATTACAATTAAATGGAAATATTTTATGGACACTTAGGTACTTCAACGGTTTTTTTTGGACTAATTTGTAACAGCAATAAAATTACTAGCCCATCTAATATGAAACTTTTAATTATTTTAAACAGTTTAATATGGAAATAGTCTAAGTAAATATTTATATATATATTACGGATAATAATAATTAATAACACTAACTGTTCTAGCAAATAAACCATTTGTATTATACGTGGATGCTTCAGTTTTTGACACAAACGAGTTTGGGGTTTATTTGTACAGGTAATTGGCGAATATTTAGCATTAATACTCATTTTAAATTGGGCTTCAATCTCGTTGATGACATTAACTAAATAATAATCACTAAAGATATAACGCTCAAATAGTAATAGTCTACCTAAAATAGAGTTTAGTTGGTAAAGAAACAAACAAAATTATTTATGGGGCTTCTCATGCTATAAACCAATCTTTAAATTTTCTTTGTGCAGTGGATATCTGAGCATAACATACAAATAAAACACTAGCCAAAAATTAGTTCTTCTATCATTTAGAAAATGAGTCTTACCTAAAAATATTAATTCTAACATAGGAAAATTAAATATTAATCAGATATCTGCTCGCCACCTGGAATTTCTCAATATTATCTAGTGAAAATAGCGATATAATATAAACATTTCTGCTGGAATTCTAAAAATGAAATCAATCTAAGTGTATATATAGCGTAGTAAGGCGTACAAAAATAAAAAAGAATGAAATTAAACACCGCAGTTACATTTCCGTATATTAAAAGTAATTCGAAATTTGTTATTGAATTTATATATCTGGAACCTACATCAAGATTTATGCTATAAAAATCGATATTGTTTTTAGCTTATTCTAGAATCGTTTAAAACCTCATGTAGTTGTGAGGTCTTCTTGACGGCCGTCCTCGTGATCGCATACCGCGTCCACGTGCGCCACTCTCGCTGTCTGCAAATAATGAAATATTTGAACAACTGCATGCGATCGAATTCCGTATTCATTGTTGTATTTCCGGGCACGTTATTTGTACTTCATGAATTTGTAGAAATTCGATACAATATTAATGAACAAAAAAATTCTAGTACTTCTGTGAAGAGGTACAAGTAGAGCCCCTCAGACACAGCCCACTGAGTTTCTCGCCAGATCTTCTCAGTGGGTTGCGTTTCCGATCCGGTGGTAGATTCTGCGAAGCACGGTTCTTGCTAGGGTTCGTGTTAGCAACGTCATCAGGTTTAAGCCCCGTGAGCTCAACTACTAGTTAAGGCTACGCTGATATAGCCTCTCAAGGCTCTCAGCTTAGGTAGAAAAAAAAAAACCAGCGACAGGGACAGTTTTCTTCGTCCGCACCAGCTGAAAGTACCGCGGCGGACCGAAGCCTGTTCTGTAATAAAGGTGTTAATAATATACCTGCAGCCCTCATCCATCGTTGATTGTGGGAGTGAGGAGAGTGCGGAGACCGCGTGGGCGCGCGGCGTGCCGGTGCACTAGCCTCCGCCTCGCGACCTTCTTCTGCTATCTGCTGTAATTTAATAATAATCATAATGCTATCTGCTGTAATTTAATAATAATCATAATGCTAATTGCTTAAACTTTGTCATTATGTCACATTTTGTCTTTAGACATTTTGCGCATCAGGGACACAAGTAAGAAGAATATTAAAAGCCTTGGTCATGTAACTGTGGTGTTCCAAAGTTAAGATAGATTTTAAAACAAATTAAATAAACGCGATATTGAGCTATATAAATAAATATTATTGTGATCAAATCCTGTAATCTTCATTTTAGCTGTGAATTAAGTTTATTTGTTGGGAAATTAAAGCAAGTATCGCATATAAATGATTTGCCCTTAGACTTATTAAAATCCTTTAAATTAAAAATTAAACAACGCATATAAATAAAAATGATGCCGAATGATCATTGTTCTATACTCTTCTTGTGTGTACATAAATAAATAAAAAAAATTAAAAAAAATTAACATATTCACTTAAACTTTAGCCACATTGAAGTGTTTCGCCTTTTCTTTCTTCATCTTCGTGCATATTTTAGGCATTCTATTAATTTCTTAAAATATTCTTAATCAAACTTTTTCTACTTGCCCTCCAATAATTGCCACAAATGTGCTGAGTTTGTTGGTGATCAATTTTTTACCCTTCTGTCGAGTTCATCCTAAACTAATTCAATGGGAGAGGGGTCAGGTAATTGAGAAGGCCCTTGAATTTTTTATTTTATTTTTATTCTTGTTCAAAAAAAAGGAAAGTTGGACGAATACTTAGAATCATTATATTGTTGAAAAGTGAATTCAACGCCAATTTGATCTGTTTTATCTGATTCTGGATCTGTTTTAAAATTTGGTTTGATCTGCATGTCTCTGTTCAGTACCGGGTATGATAATATTTGAAAAAACAATCAAATGGGCTCCTTTATTTAATTTTCCGGTTATCCTCCCAAACTTCCAAGGTAATTTTTGCCAAAACAAGTCCAAATCATAACATTACCACAACCCGATTGGTCTCGAATTTTTTTTTCCTCGTTCTAAATTATATTTTTCCTCTGAACTATTTATTGTCCAGTTTATATGCTCTCTGCCTATTCTAGTTTATTCTTCTTATGTCGAATATTTAGCTTTAGTTTTTAGCTGCGATTATTAGATATTGCAGTGAAATGTGAATTCCGTTTTGAAAGATCTCTAATGAAGTTATTCTCTTGATTAGTTGTAGATTGGGGTCTACCAGACCTTTTTTATCTCCATTTTTCCCAGTTCTCTAGCAAGATGTAGTAGTGGATTCCTTAGTGGAGACCTTTCCGTCTTTGGGAGATTTGACATTCAAGGTATTTTTCCTCGTATAGTGTACAAATAGCGCTTCGCAATTCTATTGTAATTTCCTTGCGTTTTTTCCATATAAAAATATTAATATTTTCTGTTACTACACAGTGGCGATTTATTTTTTGCATAGAAAAAGGGGTGTGCTTCCAAAATTTTGGATTATTATGTTTGAACATAATTTATATTGCCTTGATAGTAGACCTACTAATTAATAGAAGTATATATTGATTAAAAAAATTTAATCTGGACGTTTAATTTTGAGTTATAAAGTTTACAAGCATGGGTTGCTGTCCCCTTCCAGGTAGCTCATAACTAATTGACTACGCACGCAAGATTTGACATCACTACGGTGTACTCTGTAGACCTTGTGACTAGAAATAGAATAGGTTAAAAAGTATGTAAACTAAATTAAACCCATTTTTATTTAAGCCAATTTTACACCCGTGAGGAAATGTCCAACTTTTCTCCCTTGGTGCACAATGTACTATTTATACGAATTCGTGTTGAGTGAATATTAAGAGAGATTTAGGGCATTCCAAAATAAAACTGCTTACATCACCAATTAAGCAAATTGATAAAAATAAGTCATTTTCCCAGATAAAATCAATTATACCTACCTGTTGAATTATTTTCAATGTTATGTTTTGGTGTACAATTTAGTCTATCTCTTTCTTTCTTTCTTTCTTACTCTCTCTCGCACACACACCCTTTAAAACGAACGCATTACTACTACGCGGCAGAAATAGGCTGGATATTTACGCGTACGAACTCACATGGCCCCCTACAATATTTACATTATATTACAGTGGGGGCCGGAAAGTTCTTGAGTGGCGACCGCGTATCGGAAGATGTAGCGTGGGTATGCCTTCCACAAAATGGATCGATCAACGACCTATTGAGGTTCGCGAGGGTCCGCTGGATTCAGCAGCGGAGGACCGATTTTTGAGGCGAGGCTTGGGAGAGGCCTATGTCTAGCAGCGGACGTCTGTGGGCTGATAACAGTAGGATATCTACCACCAATAGAATATCACACTTATTCGCTATAAACCAATACTTTAACTTTAGAACTTCTACCGTGCTTAAATAAAAAATAATAATTTGTATGTACATTACATATAGGTAATTAAAAAAAAACTTATGATAATGTCAACACAAGTGTTTTTCGCTAAAGGCCAATATATTTAATATTCTCATAATATCATTGTTTGTTGGACGGCTGTAATGTGAAAGTCAAATGAGACAGACGTAAATATAATAAAGGGTGTACGGAACCGTTTCCGAAAAAAAAAGATAAGAACTTCTGGTACAACGACGTTAAAAAAAATCACTATAAAAAAAATTTAACTTCTTTCACCGGTTAATGATGTTTTTTTTTTATAGCGTAGTTGGTTGGACGATCTCATGGTTACTGGAGCCCATAGACATCTACAACGTAAATGCGCCACCCATCTTGAGATATAAGTTCTAAGATCTCAGTATAGTTACAAGGGCTGCCCACCCTTCAAACCGAAACGCATTACTGCTTCACGGCAGAAATAGGCAGGGTGGTGGTACCTAACCGCGCGGGCTCACAAGAGGTCCTACCACCAAATAAATGTAGTTTCAGTCATCTCACTTTTTTTTATTAAGTTGTTGAAAACAGAAAAAAGAAAATTTACCTAAGTACTCGTGTAATTTGCGTTTCTATGTAAAACTAACTAAAAATTAATTGACCCAGGAAACAAGCTCACAGAAATGCGGGCGCAAATTTCGCTTTATTTTGCCGGATCCTAAATAAAAACTTCTGATAGATGCTTCTGCAAAAATGTTTTCCGCTTACATGAGGCTTATAGTGTATTCTCGTTTTGGACTCTTTACGCTGTGGGTGGGTATATAGCACTGCTTAGTACTTAAATAATATAATAATATGGTCTATCTACGGACATAGTGGCGATGATGGCGATATACTATCCCTATTCGTTTTGAAAAACAGCACCGTATTCGCTTCTATTGCGAAATTATATACTACCTCAAAACAAAATCAGGGCGACTTGTGAAAATAAATACAATTGGTTTATCTTAATTATTATCGTTGTTCTTGAATGTACAAACATGTCTTACCAGTGACTTCTACAAGAGACACAGTTCGAAAACGAATCGGTGAAAAAATCCACGTGAGCTAGTCTTTTTTTTTTAGTATTCTCACAAGGACATTAATTTTTAAAATTCCAATAAGCCATTTTGTAGCACATTAAATAAATATAAAGCATGTTTTATTTAGGGTTGAACATTATAAGTTTTGAATACTATAGAAAAATAAATCTTATATATTAGCCTTAAAGTTATGAATAATTTAATTAAGTGAATATTTACTTATGTTGATATTAAAATCTTGCTAAGATCAAGCTAAAATAACCAAAACGATATGCTGATCTTATTGTTGTTATGTTCAAAACTGGAAGCAATGTTTTTAAATCATTGGTCAAACATCGCCCGAACGTCATTCTTCGGTGAACAAGCGTAAAAATTTGTAAGACTAAACATTAGCAGTTCATCGTTACTTTTATAACATTTGAAAATATCATTATATTTTTATAACTAAATAACTAAAATTAGATATTTTATAGGACTCTGATTAGACTCCTAAAAAGGTTTTCGGAAGTTTAATACTTGCATTGAAATAAACAAATATTTAGGAGTTGGCTACATTAATAATAATATGTACCTTGATTTTTTAATGTAAAAATTAACCTCGCGAAATTACGCTTGTAATGGGAATCAATAATAATTATAAAAAGTAGCAATTTCAATATAATTTTTTTTTTAAATATAGAATAAGGACATAAGGTAACTATTTTAAATGATTTTTGAATATTCAGCGCTTTTTTTTTGTGAATTTGGGATTACTGTTAGCCTGGACGGTTTTTCAGTTTCACCAGGACAGGTGGGCGAGCAAAGGCTCAGCCAGGAGGGGTGGGATTTGCTAACAGCTGCCCGAGCGCCTCGGAGTAAGGACGTGTCTAGGGCGTCGACGGTGACTGGCTCCTGCGTGATCAGGATTAGTCAGCCGAGGCAACGGTAAAGCGATTATCATGACACATTGCCTTACCGAAGTAGTCCACCGAGTTATTTTTTAAGAATTATTTGAAAATGTCATTGCGTTTCGAGGCGATGAGTGATGACGTCAACAGAGGCATTTGTTTCAAAAATTTATAACGTGTGAAATGGTATTCATCCTTCTTCCATCAATGTCACCAGTTGATTCATAATTCATTTTATAAATATTTTTTACTTATTCTAAGAACTTATGCATAATATCTCTGAAAGCACGTTATGAATACACTCTCTCTGGGTAAATGAAATGAGGAAACACACTCTGAATACATCGCATTGATAAATACATTTTAAAAACGTTAAGGGATGACTACCTTCTTCCTTTGAATTCATAACATTAAACTCATAACAAATCGTACACAGTTGTTTTTAAAAATATAGGCTAAAGTATCTGTTTGAATCAAAGGCAATGCCAAAAGCCTCATTTAAAAACAACCAAACATCAAGCTTATTTGGAAAATATTATGATAAACGATTTTTTAAATAAAAATATGATTTTCTGTAATCCGATAACATATTCTAAAGTGGTTCTGTCATAAAAGGCCAATGCCTGTTATTTACTGAGGTCTATATACACAATTTCAATACCCAGATTGGCCATGCTCACTAATTTGGTTGAAGTTTCAATTGAATTGCAATTACCGGCAAAAATGGGTAGGCGGGTGAAAACTGATCCGTTGCAATCTCATAACATATTATTGTGTTTATTCCTGAATTCTTAGTTTTTATATAGTACATAATGTGTACATAAATAGATATAACTTACAATGTGTTTATGCAGTGAAATTGCTACACTTAGAACGGACCTAGAACTGACAGAATTAATAATAATAATAATTAATAATTTAAATATGAAACATTTTGGGCCATGCAGCTCTAAGTTCAACCAGGCACGTCTTTAGTACTGTAAAGGAATATTATCACTTGTTTTTAAAAAAATGCTAATTGTGAAACTTGCACTGGAGACTGCTTGCTTGCTTCTGTAGGTTGATGAAAAATGTCATGTAGTCGAATTACCTGATGCGGTGATGAAGGTTCGCTTCCCTGTGAGCTCACCGCAGCGGCCTCTTCCTCTCCACGGGATTCTTCCCATTCCCTAGTCTCGCTGCTTTCTCCCCCTAAATCAACAATAGAATGTTCATCTATCCTAATATATAAATCTACAGTGGTTTTTACGGATGTTCCGTTATAACTACTGAACCGTGCATCCGATTGACTTGAAACTTGGTATCCATGTAGAAAATACATGTACTTAACGGATAGGCTAATATATATGAGTGTTGGACTCCCTACACCAGTTGTGGGGGCGTTAATGACGAAGATGGGTGAGAAATAATAATGTTAATTTTAAATGCCCAGCGAAGCGGGCAAGTACAGCTAGTATTTTATAAGCCAATCTATCTGTCAATGTTTCGAAATGTTCTGATATAGTACTATTAAACTGGAATAACAACCAACCGAAGTTGGGCAGACAAGTTGTTACCGTCGACATATTGTGTATGCCGCTGCTCATGCATCTTGGCTCAAAAGGTTCATGTATTTTTTGTAGCTATGGCGGCTCTCTTTCAAACCGAAACGCAAAAGCATGTTTCATTGCAGAAATGAGAAGGCTAATTATGAACTTTACGAATCCCTATACTACATGTATAATTTTATTTTAAGGCTTTTACTTTCGAATTTCGACTAGTGACGGACATGCCAAGATGACGACTCTAGTCACTACACGTAAAAAATAAACTAGGGATATCCATAAACGTGATATATTAATACGAGAAGCAAAAATTTTGTACCTTTTTTTACGAAAATTGCGCGGACGCAGGTGTATGTATTACATTTCCCACACTTATATACTTATATAGAATATAGAGAAGGAGTGCAGAATGCAATTTTTTCTTAATTATGCATTAATATTACATTAAAAAAAATAAAAAAAACATTACACATACTACCACGTATTTGACGTACACGCATGCATACTATTTGTTTATTGTCAAACTTTTCTTTTTGCTTATAGTTTGTGGTCAAATTGAGAATAGATTAAATATTGTTTATCTTTATTAATATTTGCCTAAAGTGTAAGTTGGCAAAGTCTTTGATAGTCTTTGATAATAGAATCATAATAGTGTACTTGACAAACTTATAATTTCAATGAATTATAGTCGAATTTCGACTAGTGCGTGACCACTAGTGTGCACTTACGATGATGAGGGTCGGTGGTGGCGGGCGGCATGGCGGGCGCGAGGTCGGCGTGCGTGTCGTGGTGCTGCAGCGGGGCCGCGTCGGCGCCCGTCGCCTCGGAGAACGTGAAGCGAGCGTCCGCGCCGCCCACCGGCGACACCACCGCCTCTCCGAAACTGCAACATCACAAAAACGTGTCAATCTGCGAACTACGTCTTTGTTAAAAAGCGTTAGTGTCTTAATTATTCAAATAAAATAAAAAAATAAAAATTATTCAACATAAATGAAAGTACATACTTGTTGAACGTCAAAAGAACTACCGCCAATTCACAAAAACTAGCCTCTGCCCTGAGAAGAATTGGCAAGAAACTCAGCGGGTGTGTCTTTTTTTTTATTTTTTTTTTATTTTCATTTTTACAGTGAGTATTATAACATAACAATTATTACAATATTGAAATGCCCGGAGCGAGCAACTCATTCCCACTTTGTGCAATCTTCTAGCGTACATATTAACTAGTTCTGTCAAAAAATACGACCACGCTGAGGTTGAGATTCAACAGCGGATATAATTATTTCAAAACTAATATGTACAGTACCAGGCAATAAATATTGCACATCGATATTTAGAAAGAGACAGTCGTCTAATTTTGTTTTTGTTGTATAGCGTTACCTGTATGCGACGAAGCACTAAAGATCAGGTATCTATGGAGACTAAATGTCAATTAGGTAATGTGCGACAAATATAAGGCTCTACGAAGCAAAAATCAGCAGTCTCTTTGCCACGGTCGATGTGCAATATTTATCGCCGGGTACTGTACCTAATGTGTATCACCGAACAACTTCCACGGATAAGATAGTCGTTACCCCGATACAATTGAAGGTTCCTGTTCATTTTGAAGTGGGATAGTGGAACGTTATCCACGCTGTGATGTCATGGTCTGGCGCCACGGTGGCGCTTTAATAAACGCGTATTTTGTGAACACGTATATAAATATAGGTATACAAAGTATAGCGAAAGTAGTAGGCGTGAAATGCAGTAAATGTTAGAGAAATAATCAACATATATATTTAACATATTTTAGATATTACGACACATGTAAACTACCACTTTGTATTTATTTTTGTGACCTATTAATAATTTGCAAGCTTCCAAGATCATGCGGAAGCTGACAGGGTTTCTATCTCATTTTAGGTATCCTTGAGTATATAGTTCATTATTTTATTTTAGTATCACTACCACAAACATAGAAAAAATTTCCCAGTTCCTTTCTGGTTTGACTAACCCATCATTTCTACGTGGCACGTACAACGTAGGTGTTGAAGGAACTATACTGTCATCGCCATCATCTGCACCGTTGCCTCCTAAAGACAAGGCGCCACTTGCTATATGGAAAAAAAAATTGCTTCATTGTGGCAGGTCAAGTTTTTTATAGATTACCCACGTCTCACGCCTGTATAAGGATAAGGACATGACAGGACGCACGCCTTATCCTTATTCAGAGGTTACCGGAGCTTATAGACATCATAATCTGAATACCGTCAAGAGCCTTGAAACATGAGATTAAACTTCCAATTATATTATACATAACTATACAGCTGCCCCACTCTTTAAGCTGTAACGCATGACTCGCGGTACAAATAGGCAAGTGAGTGGCGGACGCACAATACGGCGCGCCACCAGTAACATGCGACAGAAACCCAATCGTCGCCAATACCATTAACACTGTTACTGTTCGATCATAATATGTCCGCAGTAGTCATTTTAGCTAATTTGGTGTTGGGGCCGTTTTAGCTTCCTAGGTGTTGGGCCTGTTTTAGCTTCCTTGGTGTTGGGGCCGTTTTAGCTTTATCTGTGTTGGGACCGTTTTAGATTCCTTTGTGTTGGTGAAACGCTTTCTTGTTTTGAAAGGTTAAGAATGCAGTGGTCGAGTTGTGAGCACAAAGAGTACATACGTTCGGTTCCAGAGCTGATGGCCTCGATCTGTTGCTGCGGGGGCGCGGGCGGCGCGGGGGTGGGCTCGGCGCCCGCCTCTGGGGACTGCACAGGTGAATCCTGATCAAATAAAATTACAGTGAACCATATAAGTATTGCCACTAAGGTGCAATAGTATTACTCATATTTACTTCCACAGCATGATGTGACTGACACTAATGCACTAAGTAATTTTCTTCTTCTATTTCATCAAGCCTTCTCAGTTTAATACTGCAATAAAGGTATTGCTCTTTGAAACTCACTTTAAAAATAACCAATAATGAAGAAATAAAATAAAAAGTATGTTTTGTTCAAAAACCATTATCGAATCCTAGCACTTCAGGGCACAACAAATATATTTATTTGTAAGAGCCAGTCTCCTCACAGTTTATCGACGAGGACGCGGCTGCTTATTTTCAACATAAAATACTAACAAACATTACAAATAGAAGTGAAGTTCGAAATTGTTTTGTGGAAATTTTCTTCTCTTTGTTTCTTTTTTATTTCTCTAACATTTTTATTTTTATTTAGAATAATTACTTGTTTTTTTACAGATATTATATTTCTCATTGCAAACAGTTCTAAAAGTATTATCGATTTTTTCGTTACTCTATTGAATTATGATTTCCTAATAGTTTTATGATTTGATTATTATCCTGTTAGGTTATAAATGCGAAGATTATATTGTTATTGACATAAAGTGTAAAGTACACAACTGGAGTTTATAAGTGAAAGATATATTATAATAATCAAATAGAACTTTTACATTAATGTTCTATATCGATAAATCAAAATGCCACACCAAACTAACAGCCGCCGCACATTGCATCTTGCACATTGTTAAATGATTATGCCTAACAAAATTAACACGTTTCATGATAATTTAAAAAGTTAGTTGGACAAAAAAAAATTATATTCTTTTTCATTGAACAACAAGGATTAACCCAAGGCCTTCCTTCAGCACTTCTGTGCTAGAAACAGTACACTGCGATGAGTCTCGAACCTATGCTCTGACATTAATTAAGTTCTTAACTGTCGAGAGAGACAACTGGTCAACACACAAAACTACCTGTTGTGCTGTATTCTCAGAGTCATCGCCCTCGACTTCCTCTTCGTCGTCTGCGCCTTCCACTTCCTGTTCCTCTTCCACATCTTCTTCATCCTCTTCACCTTCCTGTACAAAATAATATATTATAATATAATGCTCTCATCTAAATAGGTCAGTGTAAAGTTCTTTGTGTATTAAGACAGCGTACTATGATCGCCAACCGGCATATACTGATGGTAGACTATATTGTAAGCCCGGACGGGTAACCTGCCTATTATTCCTTCGAAGCAGTAATGTTTCGGCAGTTCTGTTTTGATAGGTGTGATTTCAGTTATGGTAATACAATTGAGATTTCAACCTCATGTCTCAAGATGGATGGTGGCATTCATGTTGTGATGTCTATGGTGATGTCTATATTTCAATTGTAAGATAATAGTTATCATGATGTTATTAAGATGTTAACTAGATGTCTCTAGGAGCGAGGGGTGCCGGCGTTCATCGCTTAACATTAGACGCCCGTGAGCTTGTATGTTCGTCTACACTAACAAAACAAATCTAGTGCACCAAACGGCCCCGATATTGCTAAGATTTCATAGCATCAGTCTACAACATTAAATTATTAGCTTACTCTGTACATGGTACCAGTGCAGCGTTCGTCGTCTTCCTCAGAGTCTACTACAATAACACCCTCGTCGTCTTGATCGCATCGTGATGAAGTTGGTACTTGATATTCCACTTCTACAGACCTTTCGAATCCCTATTTTCAGATTTAATAAATTATCATTACCTTAATTCGACAGTTAAGATTTTTATATGAAACTTTAATTAATCTCCTAAGCCTATGTGTCGTTGTAAAGTATTATTAAGGATCATTCCCGATGATGAAACGTCACTGCTATCCTAATAAATGAGAATCTATAAAACTTTATTACTAAGCCAAGCACTATGATGGGCGGCTCGCTTGATATTGAACGGTAACCGAAGCCCATAAAACGTGAATGCCGCCACCCACCATGAGACATGAGATTGAAGTTTCAATTGACATTTTATTTCTTAGCCTGCTTATTTATATCCGCTGATTTTTTATTACGCAAAAAAAAAGACATTAGTCGTCTACCTACGACCGCCTGTTGATCTATTTTTCGAGAATAGTTTATTTATAAAGCCCGTAGTTAATTAATCTTTCTGAGAACATTATGTAAGTACCTGGACTCTTGTTCTTTTTGTGGCGGTAGGTCTGGGCTGAAGACGGCGCTTGGGAGGACGGGCGTCGGGCGGCGGGTGCGAGGTGGTGACGCCGGGCGGCGGCGGCGACACACTGGCCGCCGCCTGCGATGTGCTCACGCCCGGCGCAGCCTGCGACGTGCTCACCCCGGCCGTCACTTGCGACGTGCTCACGCCGGCCGCCGTTTGTGACGTACTCACTCCGGGGGCGGCGTGTGACGTACTCACGCTGCCCGGTGTTTGCGATGTTGCTGCTGAAATGGGCGTCGCACTGCTTGTACCTTTAATTCATAAAACAGTTTAATAAAAATGTATTCATGTTCTTGTGTGTGTTTGACGATGTAAAAATCAAAGTCGGTTACATAAAGTATTTTTTGTGAAAGTTTACCTTGTGCGGGAGGAGGCAAGGCAGGCGTGGGGGCGCTGGTCGCAGCAGAGCNTGCCCGGTGTTTGCGATGTTGCTGCTGAAATGGGCGTCGCACTGCTTGTACCTTTAATTCATAAAACAGTTTAATAAAAATGTATTCATGTTCTTGTGTGTGTTTGACGATGTAAAAATCAAAGTCGGTTACATAAAGTATTTTTTGTGAAAGTTTACCTTGTGCGGGAGGAGGCAAGGCAGGCGTGGGGGCGCTGGTCGCAGCAGAGCTGGGAGACGTGCCCGCTGAGCCGGTAGCTATGGCACTCGGCTGCTCGATTCGTGGCATGACCATCGCTACCGCCTATGAATTTGATTTTGTCCCAAAAATAAAAATATATTATTATTAATTACAATTTAATACTGAAAATGCAGGTCAAGCGATGTATAAAAATTTCAACGTTATTACCTGTTGCGGTGCTTGGGAATGGGAAGATGGCTGCACGTTGTCGGCTGTTACTGAACTACCCATGCTCCCTTCACCAGTATCCATGTCCTGAATTTTAAACATTGCTAATTAAGGCAATTTACACACGCCATTATCGATTATACTTGAAAAGTTAAAAATTACTGTACTTGTGGCTACTAATTGGCACAAAGTTACGTTCACAAAAATACAATACAAAATACACTTATTGACAACATTGTTTTTGTGATTATTTGTAAATTCCTGTCGTTTCGTTTATATTCGTTTCGCGTGAAACGACTCATCTTGATGTCAGTCAGCTTCAAGTGAGCTGTGCAATACGAGGCGCGGACGCGAGTTTTTGTGTGAAATGACTTGTTATCCATCGCGTAGGCGGAAGGCCGGTGTCTTCCTCATGAACAAAAAAATAACCTGAGTAGACTCCGGTGGAGCCGTAGTCGCAGCAAGAGCGGCACGCGTGAGCGGCCGCGATGAGGATGCAGGCATGTACTCGGTAGTGTGCGCATCATGTGGAGCCGTAGGGCCAACCTGTGCCATAGGACGGATCGAAGCTAATGGCGTTTCTCCTGCGCGTCTGCTCGCAGTCACGCTTTGTTGCGCGATTCCTAAGAAATGTTTATCATTAATAGTGCACACTGATGTACACAAACTGATTTTTAAATGAAAATAGGATTAATTTATTGTTTGTATGCATTCTTAATTTTCAAACTCACCAGCCATTGGTTTTATATTGGCAGTTGGAGGTTCCGTTGTGGTCTTCTCGGCTGTTGCTTGTTGTTTGGATGCAGAAGCTTGATTGGCTAATTGCCTTTGCAACATATTGACTTTTTGCAGTAGTGCATCAACTTCTCTAGTTTTTTCAGCTTGTGCTTCAGTGCGCTCTTTTTCTAATCGTGTAAGACGCCCTTCGTACTGAGATTTTATTAGCGCCAAGCGCACGTCTTGTTCATCTCTGGTGCTTTGTTCAATTGCACCGATTTTAGTACGCGATTCATCCAATTCCCTAGTTAAAGAATTTTTCTGCTCTGTTAACTGGACAATTTTATTTTTAGCTTGCTTTAGTACTAGTTTCGCTTTTTCTTCTTTATCCAAATTCACAGATCGAAGAGTTTCGAGTTCTTGTTTTAATTTTTCATTGTTTGATTTTTCAGTTTCTAATTTAGATTGAAGATCAGACAACTGATCTTCCATTTTTTTTGTATTTTCTGTTGCAGCATCAGCAGCGGCTGCATCACCTTCAGCCTTTTTCTTTTCCTCCTCCACTGATTTTACTAATTCCTCGTATTGAGCCTTGTACTTTTTAGCTATCTTTCTAATTTGCATTTCTTTATTTCTGATATCAGTCAGTAAAGCATCTTTGTTGGAAATTTCATCAGTCAATTTATTATTTGCTTCAGTTACAGCAGTTAGTTCTGTTTTCACTTTAGTTAATTCTTCAGTGAGTTTAGACATGTCATCTTTAAGTGTTTGTATTTCTTCACTCAGTTTTCTGTTTTCTTCAACAAGATTATTTTGCTGTCGAGAAAGCATAGTATATTGTTCTTCAATTTTATTTCTGTCGGCTTTAAGAGACCCCAGTTCTTCATTTAATTTACGCACGTTTTCTTTTTCATTTGTAAGCATTTTAGCCAAAGTTTCTCTCTCGTTTTGCAGACGTTTCCAATCTTCTGGGCTCGTCTTATTGGCCCGTTCGACTAGAGCATTAACTCTTGTTCGCCACCTGGCACAGTCTGCTTTTAAAGCATTATTTTCTGACTGCAAGGTTTCATTCTTAGAAATTAAATCGGAATTACTTTCCTGTAATGGACTTAGCTGATCTTCTAAGGCCTTTGTGACAGCAGTGAGATCTTCAACGCGACGAGATAATGCGTCTCTTTCTTCTCTTAATATTCGATTGCTGTCCGTTAAAGCATTCAAAGTTTCAACTTTTCTTAAAATATCAGATTGTTTATTAACAGTCACAATGCTTACTTCAGACTTCTCCCTTTCGGTTGCTAACGTTAACTTAGCTTCATCCAATTGCTTTTCTGCTATTTCTAATTGTGATTTAAGTCGCATAGTTTCAGCTTGCAAAATATCAAATTTAGCCATTGCAATGTCTTTTTCTTTTCTTAGGAATTTTACAATTTGATATAATTGCTCTGATGATTTTATGTCATCTTCATTGATTGATAGATTCATATTAGAATCATTACCAGATTCGTTTATGCTTTCTGATTGTGATTTAGACGCATGTGTAACTGATAATTGAGTCCCTAAAGCTTGAATTTGATCATGTAACAGAGAGTTTTGATCATTAAGATCTTTGAGTCTGTGAGTAAGCTGTTCATTTTCACTAGTTAGTATTTTCTGTCTCTCTAACCAAGAAGATTTTTCAGTTTGTAGTTTTTCGATTGTGCTATTATTGAACGCTACCAATTCATTAAGTTGGTTTTGTGCTCTGGACAACTCTTCTTTTACTTGAGTCAATGTTTGAATATCAGTAGAATGAAGAATCATTTCATGTGTATATTTTTCTTCAGCTTTTTGTACTGCATTCGACAACTTAGATACTTCTTCGCGAGCTTTGTCGAGCTCCGTACGATAATTATCAACATTTACTAATGCAGTTTTCAGTTCTTCTTTAGCATTTGATAATTCTGTTTTCAAAGCAATGTTACTATTCGAGTGTTCTCCATTAGCATGAAGCGACAGTTCAGCTTCTAATTCGGAACATTTTTCTTGAAGTTGCTGTATTTTACTATTGTAATCTAAAAATTTGTTTTCGGACTCAGTTTTATATGCCTGATATTCTTTGTTCAGTGTTTTAAGTTCTTTTTCTGCCCCTTCTGAGATGTCACAATATTGTTTAATATGTTCTTTAGCAACATTCAGTTGTTCTTTTAGTGACTGAATTTCATTTTGTTTATCTATTAATTTATTTTCTAACTCCTTTATTTTTTTGACGGTGTCAAAAGAACCATCTGTATTAGGAGCAAGTGCAAATTTCAATTTTTTCATCAAATCTTCATTGATTTTATTTTTTTCAACGCAATCTTGTCTCATTTCCGTAATTTCCTTCCTCAAAACATCTGCTGCTTCTTTTTCTTCCTGCATACGTGTTTTAGCAATTTCAGTTTGTCGCTCAAGATGAGCTGCTAATTCTCTAAATCTATCTTGTTCTTCTTGCAGTCGGCGTCTTAAAGCAGAACATTCTCTAGTAGCTTCATCCAATCTTGTTTCTATTTTCGCTCGATTTTCGGCTTCAACTCGTTCAAGACTGGCTTTAATTAGTTCTAAATTTTTTAGTAACAATGACTGACCTTGTCTTTCGCGATTTAATACTTCTTTTTCAGTTTGAAGACGTATTTCAGCATCTTTGATTAATTTACATTCTAGTTTCAAATTTTCCAATTGTATTTCTGCAGCTGCTAATTTGCTTTGGGCGTTTAGAGCTTCATCACGCAGATGTTGAAGAGAAACTTCATGCTTTGCAATAGTAGCATTATATGCCTTGTTTTTATCTTCGAGTGAGGCAATTTGTTTCTTATATGTAGCAACATTAGTTTGCAATATCTTTAATCGTTCATTATTGTATTCAGATGTAGAAGCACATTTACTGTTGGCTGTAGTCAGTTTCGAAATTTCTTGTCTCATGTTGTCAATTTGTTCATAAAGCATCCTCTCATTAGTGATTTTCTCTTCTTTATACGTTTTAAATTCTTCTTTTAGAAGTTGTAAATGCTTTTCGGCCTCTCTGTATTTTATTTCAAACGGAACTTTTTCAATTGGTTTACTAATATCCTCGGATGATGTATCCATTGTAAAAGATCCACTTTTTTCCAACTCAAGAGTTTCTAGAGCAGAAGTTTCGCATCGCTTTCCTTTCATATGATCATGGTATAGTTTTTTAAACATATCCCGTTGTCGAATTAGTCCGTTAACCATTTTTGTTTGACGATCCTGAGCTTCAGTTAATTCAGTAACCCTGTTTTTCAATGATTCTATTTTGGTTTGCATTTCACCACTTTCAAACTGTTCTTTGTGACGTTCAAATTCTTCTTGTTTTTCTGTAAGATCTCGTACTAAACGTAAAAGTTTTTGATTGTTTGATTGTAGTTCTTGAATGTCGGTGAAAGTGACTAATGTCTTCGATATTATTCTAGATGAGCTAATGTCAGACGAATTAGATATATTGGATGCATTATTTGATAAATCATGGTCACCATTAGGCACAAGACCACCACGAACATGTTCTATTTCCTTTAGTAAGAAACAAACTTGTCTACCTAAGTCAGCTAACTCTCCCTTCAATTTTGTATTTTCACGATTGTAGTGATTAGCTATCTTTGAAGTTTCATTATAATCATCTCTTAGCCGGTTACACTCCATGACCAAGGAATCGATTTGCTGTGACAAAGCCGCATTGCTCTCTAAAGCTTCTTCATATTCAGCTTTTTGTTTTTGCAATAATGGTGCTTTCTCTTCTAATTCTTGTACAATGGTATTAATAGTAATGTTGAGTCTTCTGTTCTCTTCTTTTTCCTGGTTTAATTCATCAGACACTTTTACTAATTGTGAATATATTTGTGTCAGTGACATTCCAGATTTTAATAATTTGCTTGCAGTTGCAGCGGATGGTGCTAAATCACTCAAAGCCATGTCAAGATTGTGAGCATTAGCAGCTTTTAATAAATCATTCGCATGTTCTATTTCGTTTTTCAAAGAAGATATTACTTCATTTTTCTTTTCCATCATTTCTTCATGATCTACTTCTGCCTGCTTGTATTTAGTTTCTAACTCTCCATATTTATCAGTGGCTTCATTTAATAATTTTTGTAATTCTGATATCCCTTCTGTTAATTCGTGTGTTTTAGATTCAGCATCATCATGCATTGTTTTGAATAAATCTGCTAACTTCGTTTTTGCATCCAATTCCTTTTTAAAATTGTCTGTCATTTTGTTCTCTATATCTCTCTGTTCTACCAGCCTCTGGGCTAGACTTTCTGCACGAGCGTTTAAATTCTTTTTTATTTCATTTAATTGGACTATGGTTTCATTAGCTGCATTAAGTTCTTCAACCTTTTCAGCTAATTGTGTTTCCAAGCTCACCAGTCTACTTGTGTTGTTTAGTCTAACTGTTTGCAGTTCAGAAGTGAGCCTGTTAACTTCTTCTGTTAAGCCAGCAATTTGAGAATTTAACAATGTTCTTTCTTGTTCTATTCGTTTTTCACGATATTGTAAAGACAATTCTTTGCTTTGTATTTCGTCGTTGAGTGCCAATGCTTCACATTTTGCATCGATAGCTGCTCGTAATTGTTGCGAGAGTGCAGTATCATTAGTCGTCAATCTTTCTATTTCAGCATCACGCCTTTGCAAAATACGAGTTAAGTCATTTCTTTCATCAACTGCTGAATCTCTAGCACTTTTCAGAGATATAATTTCATTTTCTAATCGAGTTATTTTATCATGAGCTTTTTCAAGTTCAGCTTTCAAGGTTTCGACTTGCTTGCCTAGTTCTTCTACAGTTTCATCTGCTGTAATCAACTTCTTTGCCGCATCTTCGTACTTGGCCGTTTTTTCCAGTACTTCTGATTCAAGAACGGCGATTTTTTCACCTGAACAGTGAAATTGTTTACATTAACATATTTAAAAAAAAAAATCAAGCGTTACATTTTATGAGATCTCCACGGTGTACTGGGTAAGACAACCGGTGTATTGGTATTGATTAATGCAGCATGTCCGGATTCAAATGCTCTCTCGGGTACATTTTTTTAAAATATGTATAAGGGTTTTCGCTATGAAAGAATTACATCGTGTCATAATATAAGAAAAATAACTTGATATTGATATACAGTCGAGAAAGTACCCGGCGACATTCGGGTTTTCACGTGTTTAAGCGATGCAATTATGTGCAGGTGTTCAAATCACGCAGGCCTGTACCGATTTTACATCGTGTAATAAAAATAAAACACGTAATAATCATAATAATAATATGCTTAATTATTGATCCGACGTTTTGGGAGTCCACATGAGTAGATACCGCCTCCACTTAGGGCCTGTGCACACCGCGTTTTTTAAACGCGATGCTAACGCGCGTTTGTATCGATACAAACTGCTCTGTAGGATAAAAGCGCGCCGTCGACGCGCGTTTAAAAAACGTGGTGTGCACAGGCCCTTATTTATGCCGTGTTACGATAATGCGTTCCAGTTCGAAGCGCAGTCCTTATACAATACAATTGAGATTTAGTCCACAAATCTCAAGTTGGATGGCGGCATTGAGTTATTACTGTTTTTCGATTTTTAGCATTGCATGCGATTTTTTAGCAAGCTGGCTTTTTTCTTCAATAATACTAAAAGTACTCAAAGAATCATCTAGCGAAGACAATCTACTTATTTATGCAAATAAATCAGTCAGTATTCTCAGAGAACTTGAGTATATGCATCCATAAACTTTTAACTGTGTATTTCAATTCACTGAACATGATCAAGTAGATTGCATGGAGATTCTAGAATCTGTAAAAATCATAACTAAATAGTAAACATATGTATACATTATTATTATTATGTATTTCTGTATTTATTCAAACATCAAAGCAATGAACAGTATCAGCTCTCACTAACACATACTATAGGGGTAGGTACTAAAGAGGGTGTGTACAAGCAACATAGCACTTCTGATATAATAATCGTGGTAATAAAGCTCTGTTGATAATGGTGGCAATAGATCTGCTAAAAAAACTTTCTTTACAAAACCAGAAAACTTTTTGGTCTCATCTCAGATGAGAATGACTGCAATCATTGGTCATGGGCATAGTCTACTAATATAAGGACAGTCCACTGAGCATGGCTAGGGTCAACATACAGGGTCGCCAAGTGTACTCCTTGAGCAGGATGGCTTTCTGAGAAGCCTAACAAACTTCTTAGGAAGGCTAGAAAGCTCCTTTTAGATTATTCACATCCAAAATGCATAACTGGTGCATTTCCGAATGTTTACTTTTATCAAAAATCTACCTTTTGAGGCTAGTCTTCACGCGAACACCCTTTTGCATCAGCGTTTACGTGACCTAATGTTACAATTTAAACCTATTATTAGAGCAATAGATGTTCCAGAGCTCCTAGCTCTTCTGAATATTTGTGACTTATCAAATACATATAAATAAAGGTGGGTGGCGCATTTACATTGTAGATGTCTATGGGCTCCAGTAACCAATTAACACCAGGTGGGCTGTGCGCTCGTCCACCCATCTAAGAAAAAAAAAATAGAAAATTGTGAACAAAATGGTTAAAATTGGGAAGTAATTCATAATAGATAAAATACATAGCTGGGCTTAGGTAATAAAATATACAGACACCTACCAATTTTTAATTTGGAAAATATTTTCTAGGTCTTGAAGACTTGGAAATTGGGTTATGAATTAGCCCTTTTACTGCTGATAAATTTTCAGATTTTACAGAAATTACTAAAGGATTTTTAAAAAAAGCACCTTATACAAAACTTTAACTTAAAAAAATACAAAATCAATGGTAAATTTATAGCAAAATAATTTTAAATGGTCATTTATAAATGTTATTAACTTATTAAAATTATGCATGTGTCCATAATGGTTGATACTTAAATACCTATAATCAAACTGTTCATTATTCAGCATTCCAACGTTCCACACTTTCTATGCATCAAAGAGTCTTACCAATCAACGGGTCATGCTCAAGGGGTCAATATGTGTTCCTAAGACTTTTTACTCCTATACATTACAGGTACATGTAGTATTGATTTTGATTTCATTTGACATAGTAATAATAACTAGCTTCGTATCATTTTCATAAAGTCATTTTAGTATACTCGTTATAAGCTGCTTGTTTCATCACCACACCTTTCTTACTCTGCACCTCTAATTATTTTGTGTTTATGTATAAAATTTTTGTACTCAAACATTTTTTTCTTCATAACATCCAAAGCCACCATTATTATTCAATATCCTGTCTAAGCTAAAATTAATCAGATAAAATTATTTACCCCAATGTTGTTCCATTACTATACTAATTTTATTGCCTAATTATTGTACCATAGTTCCTATTTTATTCAACAAAGTACTCCACACATTTCGTGGCTGATTTGAAAAGTTCTTTACAGTAGGTAGATGTTTAGCTGTGCATCAGTGATTCCGTGAAAGGTGGTAATAATTTATAATTAGTTGGGTTGAGAAGAAATCAAAGGGGTACAAGCTCGTTGTTAATTATAATCTAAAAACAAATTTATATAAAAAGTCTTAATAAATAAGTTTTAATTTGTTGAAATGTTATNTCCACACATTTCGTGGCTGATTTGAAAAGTTCTTTACAGTAGGTAGATGTTTAGCTGTGCATCAGTGATTCCGTGAAAGGTGGTAATAATTTATAATTAGTTGGGTTGAGAAGAAATCAAAGGGGTACAAGCTCGTTGTTAATTATAATCTAAAAACAAATTTATATAAAAAGTCTTAATAAATAAGTTTTAATTTGTTTAAATGTTATGTGATATTATCAACATAACTTAAAATTTTAATTAAGTAAAATTAAAATTTTTACAGTTTACAGTACAGTGTTATATATTTTTGTCAGCACAGAAAGCATTTCGTAGCTATGAAAATAATATTAGTACGAGGTTAGAACACAACAAATTTATGCCAAAAACAATGTGTTTTCTACCCTGCTAAAAAGGTTTAATACTCTTATGTCTATTATGTTCAACGTTATGGTTAAATGTGATTAATAGACGATGTAGACGAATCGGGAAGACTATACAATCGATGAAAGCGTCTTAAAACACCGGTGCGTACTCACCTAGTTGCACTCTACTGGTTTCATGTAGAGCTTTTGCTGTCAGATATTCATCAAATTTTGACTCGATATAGTCATTAATTTTCTGTACGACATTGTTGGATAAATTATTGATTTCTGCTTCGGATAAAACATTTTTCAAATGATTTGCACCGGTTTCACTCTCCGTAGCTTCCATCTTTTGTCACTGACTGAGCCATAGATTATACACTTAATATATTTGAGCTGACTGAGTAGACCAGGTATACTAGTGTATAACGCAGACTACTAAACTACACAAAGATAGTACCGTACGTACAGCGTTGCCAACTCTAACCAACTTTTCGGTAGATCTACCAACTTTTAGTGTCGTAATCAAACCTACCACTTTATCTACCAACTTTTGAAGTTTTCAAAAAGTTCAAATAAAAAGAGTACAATTAACAAATAACTGATTATAATTTTTAAAACGTTTCAATTGAACACTATCAAAATGAGTGAAAAAGAAGAATATTAGCGGCCTGTAATTCTGTTTTATTATTGGATTTCTAATAAAAATAGTTCAAATATGTCTTATCCAATCGAAAAGTAAATTAAGGATGCCAGATTCTTATCGGAGGGTCTCTAAAAGACTTGAAAAGTATGGGTGGTAGATTTACCAAGGTGGTAGATCTACCAACTTTTCATACTAGGGTTTATTGGAAACTACCAACTTGTAGAACCCTATCTCCCACCTTGACGAATTTCGAGTTGGCAATGCTGAGTACGCACGATATGGAGTACAGTCGTAGATTACTCTATGAATACTAGTAATTAAAAAAAACGGCAGTTGGAGCATTAACAAATGGAGAAATAAACAGGCTGTTCTATATATATATGCAGAATAAATATATATATTATTGATTACGAGGGCTTACTAACCATTTGGAATCTGTGAATGCGCACAAGTGCACAAATGTAAAATGAAAATATGTAGTCTCAAATATTAAGTGTATTGTCTATGATGTAGTCTGTAGTTATCTATACTAATGAGCCTGCAATGTTCTAAAAATAAAATTAAAGTATGTATGTACATAATATGTAAAATTTTAATTGTAAATAGGTAATCCAAAACAACCACAGAAATTTATTTAATATATAGAGGTTAAAACATTTTAAGAGGGTTCCTGGCGGAAATTTGAAAAAAAATATTTAAAAATTTCCAGATTGTATTTAAATTGAATTTAATATAATTTCCTTGTAAATAACAGCACACATAGTCAAATTGTATACAAATATAACGTGTAAACAATAAAAATTCTACTAACATGAATTTAAGGTTTACATTGGAAGCAAAAACATCAGGAAAATCTGGAACATAAAAGTTAAAAGTCTTAACTTAAGCCATACATTTTCGATTAATAAAGATGCAGTAGCAATAAGGCGTATTAACGCTAGTAGAATTGTTGTAATTTTTTTATCATCATGATCATTATCCTGCCCTTCTCCCAGTTACCTGGGGCCGGCGCAACATGTTTTCTCCTTCCATATTCTTCTATCATATACCATTTCTTCGCTCACTCCCCTCTTACCCATATCGTCTTTCACGCAATCCATCCATTTCTTCTTAGGTCTACCTCTTCCTCTATATCCTTCCACATTCATAGTTAACATTTTCTTATCAACATTTTCATTTCGTCTCATCACATGTTCATACCATCCCAAACGCGCACTTCTCAACTTCTCTGTCACAGGTGGCACTTTCAGACTTCCTCTAACATATTCATTCCGTATTCTATCCATTCTCGTTACTCCACACATCCATCGCAACATTCGCATCTCTGCTGCATACAATCGCCTTTCATCCGCCACTTTCGTGGTGGTCCAACAACCTGATCCATATAAGACGGCAGGCCTTATTCCTCCTCCTCGAGTCGTGTTCCTCATGTCTGAGGGTCGTGACCACCATCACCCATGAGCTTCAATCTTAGGATTTTTTTCCACTTTCTCCTGTCCACGGCGTCATGCAGCGCGCTGTACACTGTACTGTCCAAAGCGGTGCGGATCTGATCGGACCAACGAGTATGGCTGCGGCCTCTAGATCTGTTGCCTTCAACTTTCCCTGTGATCATAAGTTTTTCCAGGTTATCGTCGTCTTTCCTCGCAATGTGACCAAAATATTCGAGGATCCGCTTCAGACATACAGTAGACAATCTGATTTTGATGCCCAGTTGCTTCAATATCGACACGTTAGTCCGGAAGGCTGTCCACGGAATTCTTAGCATGCGTCTCCAACACCACATTTCGAAAGCATCGATGCGCATTCGGTCTGCTGCTTTCAACGTCCATGTCTCAGCTCCATACAAGAAGATAGAGAAAACAAGAGTCCGCACCAGTCTGGTTTTAGTTTTCAGNATGCCCAGTTGCTTCAATATCGACACGTTAGTCCGGAAGGCTGTCCACGGAATTCTTAGCATGCGTCTCCAACACCACATTTCGAAAGCATCGATGCGCATTCGGTCTGCTGCTTTCAACGTCCATGTCTCAGCTCCATACAAGAAGATAGAGAAAACAAGAGTCCGCACCAGTCTGGTTTTAGTTTTCAGGCCTATCCCTCTATTCCTCCAGATCTTCTGTAGCTGAGACATCGCACTTTTAGCCATTCCGATACGTCGGCGCACGTCAGTTTCACATGAGCCTTTGTTGCTGATGCAGGACCCGAGATACACGAATTCGTCTACAACCTCTAATCCAAGCGCCCCACTCAATCTTAGAACATTTAGGCCTTATTAAGGTCTTATATATCTTCCCTTTTAGGGGAAGAGGAATGTGTCAGTCATATGTGATGCCCGTGACCTGCCGCCATTTCATCCATCCTGCGTCAATTCTATGCCTCACAGTACGATCCAGTTCACCGTCACTTTGGATAACAGACCCTAGGTATCAGAAGTCTTGACATACTGGAAAAGATGCTCCGTCGAGAGCAATGTGTGTAAAATTGGAGAGACCGCCAAAATCACAGAACAGATGTTCGGTTTTCGATCTGCTGATTTTTAGGCCAACACTCTCCAACTTGCATCGCCATTTCTCCGGCATGTTTTGGACCTCGAGCCCGTTTTCTCCGACGAGCACTATGTCATCGGCAAACAGCATACACCAAGGGGGCTCTTCCTGTATCTCCGATGTCAAGGTATTATACCAGCAGGAAGAGATAGGGACTTAGCGTAAACCCTTGGTGTAAGCCCACTGCCACATTGAACTCGTCGGAATTCCCTGCGGCGGTTCGTAAATACGTCCTGGCTCGACTGTACATGGCACAGATTAACCTCACATACTTACCAGGTATACCTTTCTCATTCAATGCTCACCACAAAACTGCTCTAGGTACTCGGTCGTACGTTTTTTCCAAATCAACGAACACCATATGCAGATTTCTGTGCACGTCGCGATATTTTTCGCACACTTGGTGGAGTGCAAATATGGCGTCCGTTTTCCCGCGACCAGGCATGAACCCGAACTGGTTTTGGGTGATCTCACTTTCATCTCGCAATCGCTTTTCTATCACTTTCTCCCAAACTTTCATACTCTGTGACATAAGCTTTATTCCCCGATAGCTGTCACAGTCTTGCACATCCCCTTTATTTTTGTATATGGGCACCAGTGTACTGGTGCACCATTCCGTAGGGATCACTTCTTCTTGTAGCAGCTTATTGAAGAATAAAGTCAGCCACTTATATCCATCTTCTCCCAATATCTTACATACTTCCACTGGTATACCGTCTGGTCCTTCCGATTTTTCACTTTTCATACTTTTCACTGCTTCTCTAACTTCACACATACCTACTGGTTTTTATTAATACAATATATTTGATAATTTTATAAACAACAGAAAATTTCTTGAAAGTCAAGATGAAAGCATAAATTCCATCAGTTCAAATTGAAAAAACTGGCATCTTAAGATACTTGCAATTATTTCAAATAAAGTAATATTCACTAAACTAGCTTTTGCCCGTAACTTCGTCCGCTTTGGCATAACGCTAAATTTTACCGGCGACCTCATTTACGTAGAAAGTGAAAATAATTTTGAATAATAGAATGTTAAGGAGCAATTTAAGGTATCAAAATCACGCTTTTTAACCGACTTCAAAAGAGGAGGCTGTCAATTCGACCACCATTTTTTATCTATGTATGTTCACCGATTTCTCGGGAGTGTTGGAACCGATTCTGATAATTCTCTTTTCTGATTTTTGTTTGGAAGGGTAGGCTTCCCGGATTGTCCTAAAATTATCAAGACCTGATAATGGGATCCTGGAAAAATCCACAAAAATCTATAATTTTGAAAGCCTACCTTGAAGTGATTTGGGTGTTTCTTGTTATTGTTCTGTTCTTGTTATTCTGTGCCGCCGCGCACCGGCCGGCCGGCGCCTTGTACATCAATATTACGCGCCTGATCATATGCTTTTTTTTCGGGCCGGTGCCAAACCTCCTACGTGGAGATTTTTTTATTTTTTTATTCGTACCTCTAGCAAACAACAAAGCCAGAGATTCATATTTACATTTTTTGTTTTAATTTTAATTATACTTGATACTCCTGCCCATAAGGGGCTTAAAACCTAGGTCACGCATTCATTCCGAGCCTCTTTATCATACCAGTTCTCGCATTTATTCCTCTCGTACTTTCATTCATTCCATTCATACTTTGCATTCCTAGCTGCGGCTAATAAAAGGAGGGGAGGGGGAGTAGGGCTGTTGGGACTCTTTATTTCTATAATTATTTACATTTCCTTTTCTACCTTAAACCTAGTACATGTACACTTAATCCTATTTACTTAAACTAGGTTTTTTACAACAGTAATAATATGTTAAAATATTATATGTTATAAAATTTTCTTATGTTCTATTTCTTTTATTAACCTCCTTTATAATTTTTATAGCATATTTTAGGAACAAGTTCCTCGCACAGGTTTTTTGCATTAAATTGGGGAGTTCTCGCGCATAGAGTCTTTGGCCAAGTTCGACCTCCAAGTCGAATCGTGCTGAGCCAAAAACTGGATACTCCAGAAGCACGTGGGCCACTGACTCGTCGACGTAAGGGTCACGGATGCATGCTGGGTTCTCCTTGCACTTGAACCTAGCCAAGTACTTGGAGAACCCACCATGCCCCGTGAAGGCCTGTGTAACACGAGCTCATGTTAGCATCACATTTTTGTCGAACTCATCAGCCCAAAGTGTAAAATATGATTTGTTTTCATATAGTTATTTTATCTCCTCTCCAACAGTTTTACAAATGCTTTAAATTAATGCATGGAATGCATAAATAATGTATCAAAATCGGGTTTTTCTTCTTCTTTTAAGCTGCGTGCGTTGCGGAAAGGGTTAAAGTTTGGCTAAAATAATGAATGACAGAATTGCTCCCCTTTAAAAGTTCCAAAAAAAGTCCACGACAGCATATTTCTACCGAAACGGCCGATGTTTCAGAGCCTTCGATCCGCCTCGAAGGCTCCGTCGGAGTCCTTAGGGAGAGCTACGCCGCTGGTTATAGTGTTGATCGTAGGAGTGGGTAATATCGGTTTTGCCACGTATCGAATCGTATCTATATATCGAGGATCAATATCGGATATTGAATCTATATATTTTCTGAATCTATATATTGATGGATGCTAGTAGATTTTCTCGATTCATGATATTTGAGATTTGAAACGATACGCTGATATAATATCGTAGTAGATATAGATTTAAGTCAACGTTATACGGTTGGTTTTCTGATATCAATTTATAATATGATCTTAAAGTAATAAAAAGAACATGAAAATAAAAATATCAAAAAAACTTTCCTTCATGCTTTTACCAGGCTTAGGACTGGCTACATTATTTTCAGTTTTTAGTATTTTGTGTCTTAATTTAAAATTACAAAATATACCAAAAGAGTGTAGATTTCAAAAGTTTAATACAAACACAAGAAATAAACTCAATTATTTGGATTCAACTAAAAATAGAAAAATGTGTACTTTAAAAATCAAACACAAAAAACTTTTAAGTATTTATAAACACTTGTCCAAAAATTCTAGTTCAAGGTCAAAGCGCGTGAAATTAAATTCAACGATGCAAATAGGCTATACTGCATTCAAGTTAGGGTCGAAAGTTGAAACTTCTTTCCTTAATTGTATCCTGCTGATACGCTAAGAATAATCTACAGACATATGGACTTAAATATAAGGTTTACAATTGTATGGATAATGCCTGTTTCTGTTTCATTCATCACATGATATCCCTATCGTGCGCTCACTCACTCTGGCCGATTCGATACGAACCAAACGAATATTGCTGATATTAACGAATCGGTACGATATGCCGATGCGCATCACATCGAGCAATATCGTGTATCGGCTGATATCGAAATATAGATTTCGATTCACGAATCGGTACGATATGGCGATGCGCATCACATCGAGCAATATCGTGTATCGGCTGATATCGATATATAGATTTCGTGCGGGGCGATATCGGATTCAACGATATTGCTGCGATATATAGATATTGAATCTATATACGATTTATATCACCCACTCCTAGTTGATCGCGGTAACCCTCTTACCTCATCCGACTTCTGACCTCGGAGAGGATCGGAATCTTGGGCGAAAAGTGCAGGGGAGTTGTTTAGTGGGTAGGGTCCTGAAAACATCCTTAGGCTCGCGGTCTCGCTGTCACAGACCAGTCCCCTATACACCGCACGCCCCCTAGGCGCGAGGACTTCGCAGGAGGTTTGGCCCCGGCCCGAAAAAAAAAGCATAAGTCTATATTTTAAGGTTGGCTCGCTATAACCTTTTTTATGTTTTGTTCTCTAAGTTAAAGCATTGTTTGTGAAGGTGTTTTTATATAGTCGATATTAATCCCTATCCACATAAATACATTGTTCATTACAAGTATATAATTTGAAATAAATTTGCCCTTTACATTATTTGATTTTAATGAGTATCTTAAAAGATATCGCAGTTTTAAAATAATATGTAATGATCAAGCGCGTAATTATGATGTACAAGGCGCACAGTGGGTCGATTCTATGATTTTAGTGACTTAGGGACCAACTTTGTTTTTTTATAATTTTTTTTATGTAGATAGATAGAGCTCGTTAATCTCAATAATAATTGTTTTGGGCAAAAATTACAAAAACTTTATAGTTTGGTCAGAAAAATGTGTTTTGTGATTTTTTTGTATGGAGCGGGTCACATTAAATTAAATTCCTGCTAAGTNCTTAGCAGGAATTTAATTTAATGTGACCCGCTCCATACAAAAAAATCACAAAACACATTTTTCTGACCAAACTATAAAGTTTTTGTAATTTTTGCCCAAAACAATTATTATTGAGATTAACGAGCTCTATCTATCTACATAAAAAAAATTATAAAAAAACAAAGTTGGTCCCTAAGTCACTAAAATCACAGTATCGACCCACTGTGAGGCGCCGCGCTGCCGGCCGACGCGCGGCGGCACAGAAGAAGAATAATAAGAAACACCCAAATCACTTCAAGATGGGCTTTGAAAATTGTAGTCGGTTAAAAAGCGTGATTTATACCTGAAATAGCTCCTTAATATTATAATATACATTAAAAATATTTTCTCCTCCTACGTAAATGAAGTCGTGGGTAAAATTTAGCGTTATACCAAAGTATTCTACGCGGACGAAGTCATGGGCAAAAGCTAGTTAGATGTATTGCAGAACAAGGCTTTTTGGGATTATTTCAGGGGTAATGTGTTGGCCTCCCATAAGGGCTATGAAGTAAAAACAAATATTAAGCCTTTGGTATTGAGACTACTTGCGCTTGCCAAAAGATGCTGTCTGAAATTATTATCACTAAATAATTTACAAACATCTCATCAATATAGATGGTTACTGATTATAACATAATGATCTTCTGACTGGTACATCTCACATTCGCCGCGCTCAAAGACTGCGATAAAAGCTATGCAATAGCTTAAAAATTCATGTAAAAATGTTTATGTTTGTTTGTGTCCTTGTTTGTCCTGGACGTATTGTTATTTTTATCCTAGTTTAGTGTACCTAAGTTAAGTGTATCTACGTTGATGTGACAGAAAATGGCGATTCAGAATTCGTAAGCAGGGGTCCACGAAAATATATTTTTTGAGCGGCTGTGTTGGCGATGACGAAATAATGGTAATGTTGGTGGCTATGAAATCTCCTGACATATGGGAGGAGAAACCGCCGTAGACCTATTACATATTATATAAGGGTCTTCTCCTTATATCCAGTAGTACACACAAGATATCTAGTAGTACACAATATACCGTAAGCACACGATTTTTGTGATTAAGTGGCGGAGAGCACTTAACCGGATTTAGGGATTCTTAGGGATCAAACGGAAGTCTTAACCACTAAGGAATAAACAGCAATTCAATAAATAAGAGAGCAATCAAAATCCTCATTATTCGAGGCCGGTAGCCTTAAGGGGCTATTACGGCTTTATCGGACGAATACACACCAAAAAGCAGCAAACAAAATCACGGATACGACATTAAAAATAAAACATTACAAATTATTATAAGAATTTCTTATTGCAATTTTTTACAAATTCTTATTTAAAGTTATGTTAATTAAATAGACTAATTAATAAAACAAATACATCTTGTACATTGTTAAATCAAACCGTATTTTCATTTTAATAACAGTATTATATTTCAGTTTTAATTTAGTAAATAGAAAGAACAAAACAGAACAAACTTAGGCTTCTGCTCAAATAAATTAAGTTACATATTTGGACATATTACAGAAGTTTCATCGCAACTTTTATACCGAAAGCGATACAAAGCTGTTGTATTGGGCGATGTTTCTCTTGAGAATGTCGGCACAGAGACCAAGAACTCTTTCAAATCTGTAAACAAATGTTTGGTTATTTTTAAATACATATATTCTAATTATGAGACCAAAATTAATATTTGATTATCATGGAAGGATATGAAATGATTTATTAAGATTTTTATTATTATAGGTAGTTTATACAGGGTGTTCCAGAAGGTAAATATACCTAAAACGTGCCTGCTCGGCTTAATGTATTGTTGATTTAATACCAGTAATTTAAGTTAAGAGATAGTAAATTTAGAGTTCATTTATAGATGTTTTTTTTTTCTTTCTAAAAATACTTCTTGTTTCCGATTTGTTTGTTTTGGCAACAACTAGTTTGACAAACAATTATATAGTGACAATATAGAAAAAATCCGCACCGAGTAGTATTTTTTGACTGTTTTATCATAAGAGTGTCTTTCCGTCGATGCCCAGTTATTATTACACCCTGTATAATAATATATTTACACAATACTGAAATGCTCCGGGGTTTCACCCGTCTCATTTGTAATTCAGAAAGACTTAAAAAAGTTTCAATTTTCTGGGATAAAGAGATACTTGTATCACTCTCTGGTTGAATCACTGAAAACACTGTCATATTTACTATAGCAAATATATACCCGTCGCTAATAAATAGTCACTTATATATAAAAAGATAAGATAATAGCATCCAGATTATAAACTCTATGCGAAGTTTCACCCAAATGCGTACAATTATTTTTGCGTCAGTAGAGATAGGTTGCGTGCGGGCCCACGAAATATGGCGCGATAAAAATTACCCTTAACACGTTGACAGCCATGTAGGTCACCGGTGCCCTATGCGGCGCCACTGAAGATATTATCGAGTATCGATTTCTGTTACTAAGGCGCCTGGATTGCCTAACTTTGCATTCTTTTGTTTGTTAATTTATATTTTAGTCTTTTAAGTCTCTTAGAAATAGATTCATTCTCAGTATCTTCGGATTCGTCATTCCCAGAGTCTACTAGATATTCCGGCGCCTTAGTGAGAAGATTGAAGAGAGAAATCGACATAATTACTTCAGTGCGCCACGTAGGGCACCGGTGACCTACATGGCGGTCAACGTGTTAAATTTCGAAATTAATATTGTTTTTAGTTTATAAGGATTACATACATTCTCTCTATTTAAGCCTCCAGAATAGTTTGATACATCTAATACATAAGGGAAGTTACCCATTGATGTGAGCTTACATTTTGTAGTTGAGGAAGTAATTCCTTTTACGCACATACATTTCTAAGATTAAACTAGTACCGGTAACTGTAATTATGATAGCAATGACATGGTTTTATCAGAAGCCGTACTAAATGTCATTATGGTGGCAAACCACAAGCACCGGTCACCGTCCTCGTCCAACCCGTCGCTTGCGACGAAGGGCTCGACGAGCGAATTAACCTATAGACACAGACCACTGAGTTTCGCCGGATCTTCTCAGTGGGTCGCGTTTCCGATCCGGTGGTAGATTCTGCGAAGCACTGCTTTTGCTAGGGTCAGTGTTAGCATCACTCCGGTTTGAGCCCCGTGAGCTCACCTACTAGTTAAGGTTACGCTGAAATAGCCTCTAAAGGCTATCAGCTTAGGTAGGAAAAAGAAAAGTTAACCTGGCACGGTCGAGCTTGACGCATTTGAGCGGGCCGTGAGCGCGCACGGTGGCGGCTCGCGGCCGGTCCAGCAGCAACGCGATCTCGCCGAAGTAGTCTGAAGGGCCTAGCCGCCCCACTTCCACTGCCTCGCCTCCCGCGCCTCTTTGTTGCAGTACCACCGCCGTGCCTGACACGGAAAATATAAATGAATAAGCAATTTCGAAAAGGGCACATCTCTGAAAATGTAAAATGTTCAGGAAATGAAAAAAAATTTGATTATTTTCTAAAGCAGTGTAAAATTTACAATATTAACTTTTGAGATATATTTTAGTGTTAATTAGCAATTGAAAATTAATGGAATTATTTTATTATAAAATGGGTGTAGGTAAGCCTCAAAACTACATGTATATGAAAAAACGTATTTGACAAAATATGCGACATGTGCCCTTTTCGAAATTGCATATTCAAATAAACTAACACCTTACTGGTTAGTTAATATCTATACTAATATATAAATCTACAGTGGTTTTTACGGATGTTCCGTTATAACTACTGAACCGTGCATCCGATTGACTTGAAACTTGGTATCCATGTATAAAATACACGTACTTAATGGATAGGCTAATATTTATATGAGTGTTGGACTCTCTACACCAATTGCGTGGGCGTTCATGATGAGAATCTTTGCGGGGGTGAGAAATAATAATGTTCATTTTAAATGCCCAGCGAAGCGGAAGGGTACAGCTAGTTTATGATAAATCAATGAGAAAATAACTTTTTTTAATCAAATTATTAGTTTGACATTGGCTTGGCAGCCATCAAACGCTTCATGAACACCACATCAAAAGCGATTTGTATTTGACAAAATTTAAAGTTGTAACAATTGCACGCTTTAACAGCAATTTAACATTTCCAATAAAAATGTAAGACTAAAGATATCATCCAACTACTATAGTCCTCATTGCTCCCATTGCTGCTTGTATTCCAAGTTACATATTTTTCTTATAATTTCATCATTTATCATTTCATAGATTTAAAACATTTATATTTTAAAAACCTATAATAATATATACTTAGTTTATCGTAAATAACAGAGAGTTAAAAGCCCATTGTATCAATTTCATAGTCACCACGTTTATTTACTGCAACAAAACCTAAATCCATAAACTAGACAAATTAAATAGTTAAGGATATGACTTTGTAGATACCTATTAGGAAAAAATCATAAGCATAGATTAAGCAAGATGCATACATTTACTTTATATAAATTCTAATGTGTTTGAGAGATTTGTTTAAACGACGATTTTTTTTATTTTAATGTTCACAGAAATAAGGAAAGATTTCCTTTGCTAATCCATTTTCTTTTTCATTAGTTGCTAATGATGACAGTTTTAGTTACCATTTTTTTTAATATGTCTAAAACAAAAGCTAAAATATTATTAAATGATTCTAAATCTTGATACTAGAAAACTAGATTTAGTGCACGTTCGTTATCAAATCAAATACATTAATAAACAGACCTTCAACTATGATGTAGAAATCGTTTCCGGGTTCACCTTGACGAACAATGGTTTCGCTGTCGTTAAAGGATACAGGCTCTAATGCATCAGCCACCGTGAGTCGTTCCCACTTTTCTAAGCTCTCTGAAAGATTCGATGACGCTTATGAAATATAAATAAACCAGCTAAATAGGCCTGCTTCCACTGCAGAGATGTGAGTTCATCCTCCAGGGATGGGACAGAGGTTATAAGTACTATACAACTGAGATGTCTGTTTCAGGGTGGGTGGCGGCATTCACGTTGCAGTTTCTATGGGTTCCGGTAACCGCTTAACGCAGGTGGGTCGTGAGCTTGTTCACCCGTCTTTGCAATAAAGAAATAACTTATTTTGTAGAGGAAACTTTTAATGTTTTGCATAAAATTTAAAACTTTAAAAAGAAAACAATTTGAACAAGAAACGCTGCTGGATCTGCAATTGTTTACGCATCAACTTCTCCTTCGTAAAGTCGGTAAAGATGCAGGCAGCGAGGCGAGGGAGGGGGCGGCTAACCGGCGGAGCAATGCTAGCTCCGCGGCGCGTAAAATATACAACCACCCTCACTTCTCAAAGGGCCTCAACAACTACAAGACGTGCAATATGTACAATATTACTTTCACATTAAAAACTTAAAATAATTTAATAGTACATATTTCGTAATTTAACGGCAGAAGTCACAAACCACCTAAAAAATACACACAAAGGAGATACAGTCTGAAATTCACAATCAAGAACAACTATAATTATAAACAAGAACTATCATACCTAATATAGAGACTCTTGAAAGGAACTCGTCGTACATTCTTCGTTTCCTAATAGTAGAGCCCATGAGAATTCGACGATAAGAGTCACGATCCAGTCCCCACAACTTAAGGGAGGTGCGAGCGCGAACCGTGGCGGCTCGCGGTGTACCATAAATTAAAGCTAATTCTCCAAAACTACCCCCTTCACCAATCGTAGTCACCGGTTCGCCGTTCACGAGAACCTGCATATTGTTTTATTATTTTAAATAGATAGTACATAAAAAGACTTTTAAAAAAATACCTTTTTAGAAAATTATTGACATTTTAGAAAATTATATTTTGTATTTCTTCAGTAGAAAACTCTAAAAACAATATCGGTAGCTTTGCTGACATGCTAAATAGGTGATAGTATAATTTTACAATTAAAGTTCGGCCTCGTGTCTAAAGATAAGTGGCAGCAAATATGTCGTGATTTCTATGGACTTTGTTGACCACTTAATATCAGATGTACTGCCTACATTAATTTGAGCAAAAACAAGTGATAACAGCATTTTACGCGCAGATTTAGTACAGGCAACTGATGTGGCGCAACATTTATTTTGGCGCTACTGTTTACAAGTGCCCGATCTTTAACTTTTTAACAGTTTAAGATTCATCCATAAAAATAAATGATAAGTAATACGAATAGATTCGTGAATGCTGGCAATCCGAAATCCGTTATTAATACAGTTCCAATAGTTCATTAACTACTACTTGCCTCAACCTCTCCTGAGTCAATAATATAAAAGTTGTCGCCTTCATCCCCTTGTCGAATAACAGTTTCACCAGGAAGACATTGGACAGGAAACATAGCATCAAACATATCAGCCCTCTCAGATTCATCCAAATGTGTAAACAATACATTTGATGCAATAGCGCGTGATAAGGCACCCATTGTTTTGTAATCTTTTGGCACCACCTACAACAATTGTAATTGACCATTAAAACAGGTGTACGACTAATTATTAATATAAGTAACTATTATTAATTATCTTAAAACCGTTACATTAATTTCATCTATACTAATATATAAATCTACAGTGGTTTTTACGGATGTTCCGTTACAACTACTGAACCATGCATCCGATTGACTTGAAACTTGGTATCCATGTAGAAAATACATGTACTTAATGGATAGGCTAATATTTATCTGAGTGTTGGACTCCCTAATAATAATGACAGTAAATAATAATGTTAATTTTAAATGCCCAGCGAAGCGGGCGAGTACGGCTAGTAAGCTCATATAATTAAAATAATGCATCTATTCCATTGATATTTTATATGAAGATTCATTTTGATGAGCGGAGTTCCTTAATGCAACGATAGCAATAAAAATCTAATTACTAATAAAAATTAACACAGCTAAAAACGTGAAGCTTCTAGCTTTTGAAATTAAAAACGAACAATTGTGCCCTTTCAACACAATTACATCAAGACAAAATATGTCTGATGGATTTTTTCCTATGAAATTTTTATTGAAGTGAAAGCAATATCAGTTACTTTTGTGCAATTTTGGAGAATTACACATGTTCGCTAATTTTATTATTAAATCTATCTTAACGAACTAGTCGATATCTTCATAAAGTATACGTAAGTAGAAGTCATTGATTTGACAACGACATTCAGTAACTTTTCTTCGTTCAGTTTAAAGTAATTAATAGTGTTATTAATTTTCCCATCACGTCCAATTAACAGACATCACAATCGCATTCCATAGCGGTCGAATATCTGAAGATTTAGCTTATCCAGATTTTAAGCTGCGCGGTGTACATCAGATATACAGTTTTTTTTTATTGCTTAGATGTGTGGACGAGCTCACAGCCCACCTGGTGTTAAGTGGTTACTGGAGCCCATAGACATCTACAACGTAAATGCGCCACACACCATGAGATATAAGTTCTAAGGTCTCAGTATAATTACAACGGCTGCCCCACCCTTCAAACCGAAACGCATTACTACTTCACGGCAGAAATAGGTGGAGCGGTGGTACCTACCCGTGCGGACTCACAAGAGGTCCTACCACCAGTAATTACGCAAATTATAATTTTGCCGATTTGATTTTTATTACACGATGTGATTCCTTCACCGTGGAAGTCAATCGTGAACATTTGTTAAGTACGTATTTCATTAGAAAAATTGGTACCCGCCTGCGGGATTCGAACACCGGTGCATCGCTAGATACGAATGCACCGGACGTGTTATCCTTTAGGTCACGACGACTTTTTAAAACGCTTTTGGCTTGAGAATGGAGATCCTATTAATACCGTCGACACCTATGTGCTTGCGCACTAGGCAGTCGTCGCTCAGACGCTCATCAATAACAAACCGATTATACTCATAGATAATACGCTTATAACATTTCTAGAGAATATAAAGGGGGATGATTTCTCAAATGTTGAAGTTTGATCTTGTTGAAATGGTGCGTTTATAAGGAATCAGTGGAAATATCTACAAGACAGGTTTGAAAATGTTCGGAGAAACATCTCCCAACGAATAGATCCTAATGTTCATTAAGTAGAAGTCAAGTAAAATAAGTGTTAACATATAAGGTTGGGAAAAAATTTTCTTCGCGTTTTTTAAGAAAATTCACAACATTTTTTATTATGTTGTTTATTTACATTTAATTAAAGTACGTAGGTACCATTTTGTTCGATAACTGTTTGTATGGCCATCTTGTAGGTAGGGACATGATCCCATTGCTATAGAAATTTTGGGGCTTCTGATCAAAATACCGCGACAATTGGTTTTGGCAGTCCTCTCGTGATATTAACCTGACACTGCCTAAAGAATTCTGAAGAGACCGAAACAGGTGGAAATCTGAAGGTGCAAGGTCAGGACTATACGGCGGACGCATTAACACCTCCCAGCCAAACTCTCTTAGCTCTCTTAATTTTTGCTGAGTGGCTAAAGATGTGTGAGGTCTGGCATTATCATGATGAAAAACCACACCCCTTCTGTTGATTAATTCCGGCCGCTTTCTCTCAACTTCTTGCTTTAATCGCATCAGTTGTTCGCAGTAGAGTTCAGAATCGATGGTCCTGCCTGGTGGTAACAAAATGACAGACAGCTCATAATGAATAATGCTCTTCCAATCCCACCACACACACAGCATCACGTTGTTGCGAGTTAACCCGAGTTTCGCCACAGCCTGTGAAGCCTGACTGGCCTTTGACCACGACCTTTTTCGCACGTTCTTGTCGTGCGTGATCCACTTTTCATCACCAGTTATCAGCTTCTTCAAAAATAGTTCGGTTTCATTACTTCGTAATAAAGAATCACAAATGAGTACACGGTTCATTAGGTATCTTTCAGTGAGCTCGTGAGGTACCCAAATATCGAGCTTTTTTGTGTACCCAGTTTTTTTTAAATGCGCCAAAACTGTTTTGTGGTCAATTCCCAGTTCTTCAGCTACGTCGTAACTACTGATATGCTGATCTAGCTACACTTTTTCAAAAATGGCATCCATTTTATCCGTAATAGGGCGACCAGAATGACGTGACCAAAATTTCCGGATTGAAAACGCTTAAACCAAATTTGTGCTACTCTCACAGACACTGGCACTAGGTCCATAAGCATCGCAATTTTTTTTCGCGGCTTGCGTTGCATTTTTACCTTTTTTTATTGAATTTTTGCTAAATATTTTTTTTTCTATTGCCCTTGCAGGCAGATGAGCATACGGTCCACCTGATGGTGAGTGGTTACCGTCGCTTATGGACTTCAGCAATGCCAGGGGCAGAGCCAAGCCGCTGCCTACCCCTTAATACTCTCCACAAGCCTCTTTTCAAGAAGGACATGTCATAGCGCTCAGGAAACACCGTGGAGGGGAGCTCATCCCATAGCCGGATGGTACGTGGCAAAAAAGACCTCTGGAAACGCACTGTCGATGAACGCAGCGGTTCCAGATGATATGGATGAACTCTGCTCCGATGGCGGGAGGTGCGATGATAAAAAGGAAATGAGGGGATCATCTCAAACATTCCTCAGAGCACTCCTCGTGGAACATACGGTACGAAATACAGAAGGAACCGAAGCCCCCCGCAGACCCAAAGGTTCCAAACGATCCGCGAGAATGGGATTATCGACGATTCGAATGGCCCTCCTCTGTATGGAGTCAAATGGAAGAAGCTGGTATTTGGGAGCCCCGGCCCAGAGATGGGAGCAGTACTCCACGCGAGGCCGGACTTGTGCTTTATAAAGCAAAAGTTTTTGTCCAGGCGTGAAATACCGCTTCGCTCTGTTGACGACTCCCAGCATTTTGGACGCCAACTTGGCTTTGCCTTCCAAATGACTCCGAAATTGGACATCACTCGAAATGTCGACCCCAAGTATCCCGATACTCGCGGAAGGTTACAGGGATACTCCTTGGAATTGCGGCGCCATGACAAAGGGGTCCTTCTTCGCAGTGAACGCGCAAACTTGTGTCTTCAACGGGTTAAACTGAATCAAGTTCAATTCACCCCACTCGTAGACTCGCCCCAGAGAGTTCTCCACTTCAGACACAAGTTTATATAATATTTTGCCAAATAATCAAATATTCATTGAATTTTTGCCAAATAATATACATAAAAGTAAGTTTGTAAATCTTTCTTTCTCTCCTTTTATTAAGTATCATAGAATTCTGTGATATAAATATACTATTTTCAAAAATTTCCTTTAATTGTTCTCTAACACCTAATCTCTTGTTTATAATTCTAGTTGAGAACAGTCGTCGTGGCCTAAAGGATAAGACGTCCGGTGCATTTGTATCTTGCGATGCAATGGTGTTCGAATCCCGCAGGCAAGTACCAATTTTTCTAATGAAATACGTACTTAACAAATGTTCACGATTGACTAGCACGGTGAAGGAATAACAACGTGTAATAAAAATAAAAAACGCAAAATAATTTACGTAATTACTGGTGGACGTCTTATGAGTCCGCACGGGTACGTACCACCACCCCGCCTATTTCTGCCGTGAAGCAGTAATGCATTTCGGTTTGAAGAGTGGGGCAGCTGTTGTAACTATACTGAGACCTTAGATCATATCTTAAGGTGGGTGGCGCATTTACGTTGTAGATGTCTATGGGCTCCAGTAACCACTTAACACTAGGTGGCCTGTGAGCTCGTCCACCCATCAAAGCAATAAAAAAAAAAGATAGCATTCGAAATTTTAATCATATATGTATAAGGTGTGACAGGTGATGTAATTTGTCCTTCTGCCAGAAACATGTGTACGTTCAAACTGCATTTGTGGTTAAAATGTATATCAGTATGTATGTACATAAGCAAATATTTAGGAACCTTAGGGACCACCACCTTTCCTTTTTCTTTTGTTAAGCAGTAATGCGTTTCACGCGTGATAGTAGCCCCTCTTTACCTACTGTTAGAATTCCAAAGAAGACGGACAATAAGTTAACTGGTCAAAAATGTAGGCACAAATAACAGACTCTCTCTCTCTCTCTCTCTCTTTGTCTGTTTGCTCTTTTAAGAATGTTCATAATATGATGGCTCGCAACTGGGTGTGAAAGAATTAAAATGATTAAATAAATTGTCAACAAGGTATACCATGAACAACATAAAATTTATATAATTAAATTATTTTACCTTTTTAACATAACTAGTAGCATCTTCTTCGGTTACGGGCTCTGCACTTATACCCCCNCTCTCTCTCTCTCTCTTTGTCTGTTTGCTCTTTTAAGAATGTTCATAATATGATGGCTCGCAACTGGGTGTGAAAGAATTAAAATGATTAAATAAATTGTCAACAAGGTATACCATGAACAACATAAAATTTATATAATTAAATTATTTTACCTTTTTAACATAACTAGTAGCATCTTCTTCGGTTACGGGCTCTGCACTTATACCCCCGCGTCTCCTTGGTAGTTGTCCCCCTGGTACAGGTAGGGGTGAGAGTTCACCATCTGCTTCACCCTCAGAAGCAGCAGCTGCAGCTGCTGCAGCTTTGACCTGTTCCTGTATCAAGGTGACATAAATTAAATATTTTGTATCACCATCATCATCAGCTTGTTGTATCTCTCCACTACTGGATGTATGCCTCTCTCATAGTCTGCCACAATTAATGGTCCTTCATCTTCCACATCTAATCTCTTTCCTCATATCGTTGCAAATTAATCCGCAAGGTATGTGGTCTCCAGTCCAGAACATGTCTGCTCCTTTGCCATCAGTTCTGAGACACATATGTCTGACTCATTGCCACTTCAGTTTAGTACGACACATATGTCTGACTCATTGACACTTCAGTTTAGTCTTTAGGGCTATGTCAGTTACTTTGGTTCTTTGACACATTTTCTTATTTCTGATTTGTTCCATCAAAGAAATTCCAGGCATACCCCTAGCCTAGCATGCTGAGTGACTTTGAACTTAAGGATCAGACCTATGGTCACAGTCCATATTCCAGAGCTTTTTGTCATGACTAGTAGTATGCAAGATGCTTAATACTGTGGGTGTGTTGACTTCAAGATTTGAAGGAGTTTTCCCATATGCAACCCAGCTCAAAGGTATAAGCTATTTGTCTTCCTTCTCAAAGTTGGTCCTAGCTGAATAATTTAATCTTGTTTTCAGACTTAACTTTGAATAAATTGAAACATCAAAATTTTAATAAAAACACAATATGTTATATATTCTAACATAATTAAGACATCTATCTCATAATTATTTGATCATGGACTAAATTCAGTTCTCAATTAGAAGTGAGTCTTTATAAAGACCTTTGTTATTAAGGGATCTCGGTGTTTCCACCACTCATAACATGCGAGAACCCTAGCTTCGAATGTAGGTTTTATTTATTTATATCTATAAGCTGAAGCCCACTTTGGAATCATAACAAAATAATATATAAATGTATAATATGTAAATGTAGTAGGAACTTCTTTATATGTCTAAATATAATCTTTTAATATTCTATCTTGGTCTTTTCTGTGTAGTTTTCTAATTTTATTTCTTTTACTTTTTATTATAAATATAAAAAAATGTAAAATAATCATCCCCATTGACTCATACATTCAATTATTATCAATTAAATCATAAATCAGTAGTACCTTAGGAAAATAAAAAGGAAACACTTACTCGTTCTAATTTCTGGAAATGTTGACGTAAAAACGATACAGGATTTTCAGGCTTGTTTACACATAACTGAACGATGCAATCTTTCAGCAACAATTGAATGTTATGAGTTTGAATATAGTCTTCACATTCATGTAAACATTGTTCTTCTTCCATTTCTATTTTAAAGTTTTTGTTACAACCAATTGGTAACCTTATAAGCATAAATTTAACAAAGCAACAAGTTACTACCGTTAGTATTTTATACCTAAGAAACTTAAATTCACGATGGACATATTAAGTTTGTTTAATTCCATTTATTTCCTAATTATTTTTCCAGGTTCGAACATGACAGGTACTAGAGATATAAAGTTGTNCTTCTTCCATTTCTATTTTAAAGTTTTTGTTACAACCAATTGGTAACCTTATAAGCATAAATTTAACAAAGCAACAAGTTACTACCGTTAGTATTTTATACCTAAGAAACTTAAATTCACGATGGACATATTAAGTTTGTTTAATTCCATTTATTTCCTAATTATTTTTCCAGGTTCGAACATGACAGGTACTAGAGATATAAAGTTGTTTTTTTTGTGGAGTTTATGGCCTGATATCTAGACCTTTAGGCCAGAGATATAAAGATTACTTATGAACATCACAGATTAGTATAATATATATTTTTTTTAATGGCAATCTGCCGATACTTTCAGCAATTTCTGCCAGCGTCGTGTTATGGCTACACATGGAACATTGTCGAGCTACTTAAACACACTTTATATTATGAGAAGTATCCAATTTTGACAATAATAATGGTGCCTGGGACTAACACAAAATTAATGTTACTATAAACTTACATATTATAATTAGTATAATAGCCCTGTTTTCCAATTACAGCACAAGAGCGCATTATGCGGCATAATGCTCAACGATAATATAAACAAAATTTCGATCAATGCCAACTTAAAGAAAAAACACTTGTCAATTTTCTGTCACTGAGTCGGTATCGATTGCGAGTATCACGCGAGAGCATTACTTTTGAGAAGGCTCGATTGTGCGAAGCGTTGCTCTAGTTGAAACATTCAACGTTGAGCATTATGCCGCATAATGCGCTCTTGTGCTGTAATTGGAAAACAGGGTATATCTCAAGGTGGGTGGCGCATTTACGTTGTAGATGTCTATGGGTTCCAGTAACCACTTAACACCAGGTGGGCTGTGAACTCGTCCAACCATTTAAGCAATAAATAAAAATTAAACATGGGTTTTTTTTGTGAACCTATGCTGATAGCATTGAGAGGCTATTTCAGCTTAAAAAACATGGTAAGAAAACAATCATGGCTTAGATTGAATATCTATAATTTTATAAAATTTACTCGTTTTAGAGTTTACCCCATGTATGCTGTAGAGTAACTGTGAGTATGCCCCATTAAAGTATTTACAGGCTAAAGGAAACATACCATGAAGAAAAAACAGAATCATAGAATTTTGTCAGCCAAAATTAATTGATATATAGCTTTGTTAGGTGCCCTAAATTCCAGAATAACTCGGGATCCATGCAAATTAAACAAGTAGCTTGGCGTCCAGACATTGTTTAAAAAGTTAAGTAAGTTAATCGTCAGGGATCGTTTAAACTTTCGACAAAATTACGGGCTCAAGGTATTAAAGTTCTTTTCACGAAATGGGTATTAAATATTATTTCTAAGGTATACTTAACCCATTCAAGTATCGTATAACATTCACCCCTGAAAATGGATGTGAGTGATGATTATCAAAATAAACTAAACTATTCTGTAGATTTTAGCTAAGAAAGCAGTTCCAACGTGCATGGGCAAAAACCGCCATTATTGGCAGGAATTAATCGTGATTTATAGTTTAGTTTATTCTCCGTTGATATTTATTTGTTATTAGTAACATGAAACTTATTCCACCATATTTTATATTTAACAGACACTTGTTTTTTAATTAAAAATTAATTTAAGTAAAATAAATAACTTGGCAGGTAAAATTCATTAAAATATTTATTCTGAATATTAAGCTATATTTCACGAATTGTTTCGCAGTAATTCCATTTGTTTGTATAAAATAAATAATTAAAAAAATTCAATATCTAATTGTGTAAAAATAAAGATGACAATACTTATTAGAATTTTATTGTATTTTAGGTGTAATGGTTCTTATGTGTGAAAACTCAGGCGATTCACTTACATGCTCTTTGCCAGTATATTTAGCTGAGTCAGTAATTAATAGGAAATCATAAACATCTATTCCAACCATAAAAAAAATATATATCGAAAAACAAAAAATAAACGGGGCTTAGAAAAGTTTACTGGCTCCCGGCTCAGCAATGCCCAAAAGTAGCACCTCTATCGGTACCGTACTGCGGTGCTGACCTTCCGCCGACACCTGCGGCGCGGCGTGAGAATAGTTTTGTTTAAATGTAACTTGTACTTACACGTTTGACGTTTTTTGTTATTAGAAAGTGGTTAGCATCTGCGAACCGGTCACCGTCCTCGTCGAACCCATCGCTTGCGACGAAGGACTCGACGAGCAAATTAACCCATGGACACAGCCCGCTGAGTTTCTCGCCAGATCTTCTCAGTGGGTCACGTTTTCGATCCGCTGGTAGATTCTGCGAAGCACTGCTCTTGCTAGGGTCAGTGTTAGCAACACTCCGGTTTGAGCCCCGTGAGCTCATCCACACATGTCAGGGTGAAGCTGAAATAGCCCTCCAAGGCTATCAGCATAGGTAGGAAAAAAAAAGAATATCTGTGAAACTGCACAAATGTGGGAAAAGGAAACAAAATACAACAAGATTCATTTAAAAAGTTATTGAAAAGGACTTAATAAATAACCACCATTTTATTGAGAATATTCCATCCCATCTCATCTCATTTCGTTTCATTTAATTTCATTTCAATTGATTCACTGAATTGATTAGAGTCTCAAGTTAAATCAAGTTAATGTCATTGGTAGTTTTCCAATTACAGCACTAGAGCGCATTATGCGGCATAATGCTCAACGTTGAATGTTCCAACTACAGCAACGCTTCGCACAATCGAGCACTCTCAAAAGTACTGCTCTCGCGTGATACTCGCAATCGTTACCGACTCAGTGACAGAAAATGGACAAGTGTTTTTCTTTTAGTTGGCATTGATCGAAATTTTGTTTATGTTATCGTTAGTAATATTATTTAATGTTGAAAAAAATTGTAAGGCTTTCGTTTCGTCGTAGTATCTTAGAAATAATCAATGTTAATTAAAACTGTGCTAACTTAGCGCACTCTGCTGATGCATTTGAAAACTCATTCACGTTCCAATTAAGCTTCAGCATAATTCGGCATTGTGCATCACTGAGTCGCATTATGCTCTGTAATTGGAAAACTACCATTGTTTGCTTCATATAATTTTTCAAAAACAGATTAAATTAATGAGATTTGACTCAAAGGTCTTGTTACTAGGCAATTAAATTAAAAAAAAATAGAAATCCGCGGTAAACTGTCGAACGAGTGTATTTATTAATTGTAATATTTTGTAATTTCAATGGTTGAAGATTCTTGAAGATTGAAGATGAAAAAAACGTAGTCACCAAGTAGTCAATCAGTGTTGTACCGTAACGATGAACGTAATTGAAAGTATTAAAAAAGATAAAGCTTACCTCAAATGTAAGTTAACTGTAAAGAAGTGGGAAAAATCTTTCATAAGTTTGCATTCCCGGACACCATCAAAATTCGACATAAAAGAAGCTCCACCTAATATAAAATATGCATATAAAAAGTATTTTCAATTAAAAAGTTCAGCTTTGGAAAATTCATTGACTGTTTGTGAAATAGATGATGAGTTTTCTTCATCCATTGAACCATTCGATGAGAAAGTTGAATACTCAATTCAGGATACTAGTTCGCCGTCGGATGCCAAAATTCCAGAATTACCTAATGGTGCTGAAATAGAAAAATTACTATCAAACGTTCCACTTTCCTTGAACATTGAAACACAACGCAATCAATCTCTGCCTTGCCTTGAAAATTTATCCAAAAAGCTGTTTGTTAACAGAGAATTTACTCTCAGGAATCCTAGAAAAATAGTTTCAGTTAAAAAAAATGAAACTAAACAAGCTGATACCAACTTAAAAAATATCAGTGGCAAAATTGTTGAACATGATTCAATTACACAAGTAAATGAAGATTTTTTGGAAAATGAAGTAAAGAATACTACTATTATCATAAAAAATGATGGTGATAAAAATATTGTTGATGGAACTAAACACATAAAAAAAATCACACACAACTACACAACTAGTGAGAGCATCACCCAAGTTACTAAAACCAATCCTTTAGAGACACATTTGCTGGCTAATCAAAATAACATTCTTCAAAACACCAGGCAACTTGATCAAGCATGGATAGAGCGAGCAGTTGGTCCAAGTTCAGTAACAGGCACCTTCTGTAAAGCAACTACATCTGAAAAGTTTGGCATCAGAAATTTAAACACAGTAACCCAAAGTAATGATAAATATTTAGATTTTGTAGAAAATAGTGATTCTGAAGATGAAAATACACTTGATAAACTAAAGCCAGCCCTTAAGAAAAGAAAAATTGAAGAAATTGAACCTGCTGCCAATGAAGGTGTAATTGTTTTGGACAGCTTTGAAACCAAATTAAAATCATCATTCTCTAAAACAAATAATTGTGGAAAAAGAAAAAGATCTGGAGTTTCAAAAAATGATAAAAGTAGAGTAAAAGTGTTATCAAGCAAATGTAATGCCACAAATGATGACCAGCAGCTTCCAGATATAACTGAATTTGTTATGTTTAGCTTAGATAATGACATAGTACCTCGTCACACAGAAGTATCTAACATATTAAAAACTGTTAAACCTCCCAAAACATCAAATGACAACAACTCAGAGGGCTTTGATAATTTGCAGACTAAAATAAAACTAGGGACTCTAAATGATAATTTTGTAAAAGTTAATATTGAAAAAAAAGTTTTTGTCAGAGGGAAGAAAAGTTTTAACTTTTCAAAATATAAAAAACAACAATGGAAAGACAAAAAAGCTTTACATGCTTCCATGGAGTTTCCAGAAGCTGGGAAAATAAAATGTTTTAAATGTGGTAATGCTGGGCATATGGCACGATACTGCACAATACATAAAGCTGAAGGTCTACTACCTTTAGAGAACTATGATGAAAATGAAATGCTTACATTGGAAGACATGGAAAAATTAGCTTATGGAGAAAATAGTAAAACTAAAACTTTGACTGAGGAACTAAACATAGCTTACACTCCAAGCCAAATTCCTGAAAATTTCATAAAAATGCTAGAAACCAAAGCAGACCCAAATTGTGGAACTGTTAAACCTTTATATCCAAATTACAATGAAGTGAATGATAATGAGCTACAAGAAGATTTATTAAAATTTGGGCACAATCAATTTCGACCAGGTCAAGAAAAGGCTATAAAGAGAATTCTATGTGGCATGTCCACACTTTTGATTTTGTCCACTGGCAGTGGCAAGTCACTATGTTATCAATTACCTGCTTATATGTATAGAAAGAAATACAAATGCATTACATTAGTAATATCGCCACTTGTTTCTCTAATGGAGGACCAGGTTTTGAATATGCCTGAATTTTTAAAGGCTGGCTGTTTGCATACTAATCAACCACCAACACTACGTCAAAAAAATATACAATGTTTAAAGGATGGAGAAATAAGTATTCTTTTGATATCTCCAGAAGCTTTAATATCTAGTGATAATTCTAATGGACTAACTGGTCTCTTTAGATCATTGCCTCAAATAGCATTTGCATGTATAGATGAAGCTCACTGTGTTTCTCAGTGGAGTCATAATTTCCGACCAAGTTATTTAATGATTTGTCGTGTATTGAGAGAAAGACTGAATGTAAAATGTATCCTTGGACTGACAGCAACCGCGACACAAACCACCATAAAAAGCATCATAAAGCATATTAGTATACCTGATGGGACATCAGGAGTGATAACTAATCCAACATTGCCAGATAATCTATATTTAACAGTTTCATTTGAGAAAGATAGAGACAAAGGCTTAATATCATTTATAATGTCAGAAAAGATAACTACATTCAATTCTATTATAGTATATTGCATAAGAAGAGATGAGTGTGAAAGAATTGCAGCAGTCTTGAGATCATGTTTGCAAACTTCTGTTAAATATTCTACAGAAAAACTAAATAAAAAAAGGAAAAGAATGTCTTATATCGCTGAAGCGTATCATGCTGGAATGTCTGCAGCACAGAGAAAAAAAATTCAAAAAAACTTTATGGATGGAACATTAAGGATCATTGTTGCAACTGTTGCTTTTGGAATGGGAATTAATAAATCAGACATAAGATGTATTATACATTATAACATGCCAAGTAGCTTTGAATCTTATGTACAAGAAGTAGGAAGAGCAGGCCGTGATGGAAAGCCTGCCTATTGTCATATCTTGATGAGTAATATTAACAATGATCAAGATGAAATACTGAAACACATTCATTCAAATTCAATAGATAGGCCAACTTTAAGAAAGTTACTTCAAAAATTGTTCATCCCATGTGAATGTTCTGATAAGAAACAAGAATGTAAGGGCCATGAAGTGAGTATACCTATAGATACTGCAGTTGAAGAATTAGATTTACCATCTGAGAACATTGCAACATTATTATGTTATGTCGAACTTCATCCTCAAAATTACATAAAGGTTTTAAATAATGCATACACTCTATGTAAAATTTCTTCATATGGTGGTCCACAAAAAATATTGGAAGCAGCTAAATCTTGTAAACCATTAGCAGTTGCTATTTTGGTAGAAAGTAAAAAAGGATTCAAGTATGCAGATAGCAGTGTTCTAGAATTCAATGTCATAGAAATATCATCTGCAATCGGCTGGGAAAGTGGAATTGTAAAGTACCAGCTAAAGAATTTAGAATGGAAAACAGAATCTGGAATACCAAAAAGATCACATCTGAAAGTAGAATTTAACACTTTGGGCTTTAGAATAAAAGCTCGAGGAGACCTAACCGAATCAGAACTTGATGATGTGTTGGATGACCTCCATAAAACTGTTCTTTTTCAAGAGAAAACTAGACTGTTTCAGTTGGAAGAATGTAATAAATCTTTCAAACACCTTGGCAATATTGGAGTGGAAGACTTAGATGGAGAAAAACACCTAGAAAAATCTAATGAATTAAAGAAAAAAATCTACAGCTACTTTCAGAGAGAAAATGCAATACCAGAAGATATGATATTAGATGTTCGACCTTTGGACACTGACCTTGTCATTTCTGATATAAGAGCTTTGATAGCTTTATATAAAGATTGTAATTTCACTGCAAGAAGTATAGCCAGAATATTTCAAGGAATTTCCTCGCCAAATTATCCAGCAATTGTTTGGGGACGATGTAAATTTTGGCGTTCACATATACATGAAGATTTTAACAGCTTAGTTAAATTAGCTACGCAGCAAATAATTCAAATGAAGATGTAAAATTTTTACACTTGTTTTAAATTAAATGTGACATTGTATGAAAATAAATTCGTTATAGAAAATAATAATTAAATATTACATAATAAGTACAAATAAAAGTAATAAATCAATAAATAGTGAATCAACTCGTTGTCGGATGATTTAAGATTATTTATTTTAAAATACAAATAGAATAGTAAGAATAAAACAATTTACTTATAATCACTTAATGTATTTGATATACGTCCCGCTTATGTTCGAAATCATTAGGGGAGCATACTACTATTACACGGACGAACAGTGGGAAGATTATCGGGGTCGCCGGTCTTTTAAAAGTTCAAAATTCAATTGCTTTAAAATAACGGCTATAAAACGGGCGACTTGGCAGATAGGACTTACCGTAACCGCGCCTTCTTGGGGTTAGTCGCGTGTCTGTGTGCTAACGGCAAACGTAGGAGCGCTATACCAACTCCATACAAATTTAAGCAAACTTTTACCCGATCGAGAAGTAAAAAAACTCGCACTAAGCAAACTGGTCGCAAGTTTGACTGCGGTAACCCCATACCGCGCCCGGGGGGATCGGACGCTTGGGCGAGGGTGCAGGAGATCGTTTAGAGGGTAGAGCCCTAAATACCATCCTTGGGTCCGCGGTCTGCTCCCAACATCTGTAGATCATTCAGCCCCACATACTCCACGCAGCAGCAACGGTAGGTAACAATGTCGCACAAACGTCACAACATTAATGACGTGTATGGAGTGAATAGTTCAAACGAACGCATTACTCTATCGGTTTACCAACATGAAATTTATCTAAAATTTAACCCTCTGATTGCCGGAACACTAAAGTAAGCAACCGGGTATTAGAGGTGATAGTGGAAGCTGACGGTAATCAATCTACCGCTGAGTTAGCAGAAGCTTTTAACATTAGCAACCAAACAATAAGTATTAGTACTTTGTAAAAAAGCTTGATAAGTGGGTGCCGCACGAACTGAACGATCGCCAGCTCGACGAGCGCTTTTAAAATATCCCTTACGTTGCATAGACAGAAACGAAGAGATTTTGAACAGCATTGTCGCTTTTGATGAAAAATGGATTCATTTTGATAGTTGTAAGCGGTTATCATGTTAGTTAGACCATGGTTCAGCATCTATGTAATGCCAAACAAAACATGCCCCTAAAAAGTCATAGTCCACGTTTTGGTGGTCTAATGCCGGTTATTCAATACAGTTTCTTATCACCACCAATATCACTGCGGATATGTACTATGAGGAACTGGACACAATAATGGAAAAGCTCGCGAATCTCCGGCCTTGTCTTGTTTTAGTTAACCGCTCGTCCCCACTGCACCTACACGACAACGCTTGAATTAATAAGTCGTCGTCGTTGAAGTCGTCGTGGCCTAAAGGATAAGACGTCCGATGCATTCGTATCTAGCGATGCACCAGTGTTCGAATCCCGCCGACGGGTACCAATTTTTCTAATGAAATATGTACTTCACAAATGTTCACGATTGGCTTTCACGGTGAAGAAATAACATCATGTAATCAAAATCAAACCCTCTAAATTATAATTTGCGTAATTACTGGTGGTAGGACCTCATGTGAGTCCGCACGGGTAAGTACTACCACCCCGCCACCACTTAACACAAGGTGGGCTGTGAGCTCGACCACCCATCTAGGCAATAAATACAAAAAAATACGACGCCACGGACGATCTCTATGGTTGAGGTTTTGCGTCATCCACTGTACCATACCTTTCGCCGACCGACTTCTATTTTTTCCAAAGTTTGAACAACATCTTAGCAGGGAAAAAAATCAATACCCGAGAGGCAGTACAAAATGCCTTTGAAGAGTTGGTTCGGCTTCTGTATATCTGTGTGCTTAGTGCAAGTTTTTTAACGTTCTCGATAGCGTAAAAGTTAAGCCAATTTTGTATGCAATTGGAACAGCGCCCCTAGCGGCAAACGTACGCAAACGATCCCATTCCATACAAATATAAACTAACTTTTACGCTATCGAGAACGTTAAAAAACTCGCACTAAGCACACTGCAGTCTTCAAGAAGGGCATTGAAACATTACCATTGCGCTAGAAGAGATGCATCGAAATCATGGGTGTATAACATTAACAAAAAAAGATATGCTGAATTGTAGTTGTTGTGTAGGTTAAAAATAAAAATAAATTTTTATTTGTAAAAAGTGACAATATATCATTTCTTATTTTTACATGCTAAAGTAAACATTTTTTTACTATGATCTTATGATGCTGTTTATGAAGGATTGCTATGTTACTTTATACGTTATGAGTCTAGTATATAAGATAGTCTAATGTGTTCGGATGATGCAGCAAATCCTTCATTCTGTGGCTGAAGGGCTATGAGACTAGACTAGGATAGACTAAAATTGGCTATAAGTAAATTGCCTATTTTGATCCAATCAAGAACGTCAGTGATTGTTTTTCTGGTTTGGATATTTTTTTATGTTATGTTATGTTTTAAATTATTTCAGTTTATGGGTCGTCATAAGCAAAATATTCGGAATGTTTGCCAAATATAAATAAATGGAGGTGAAAAATTGACTTTCAACTCGTCAAATCTACTCGAAATCGGTGTAATTGTGTTACAAAAGTAGCTACGTAGCGAAGTTTGGAGTTTAATTTCGAGTGAGCTTGTGCGATATCGTACACCTTAGGACCCTACATTGACTGCTTCGGATCGGCCACGAGTAATCGCCACGAGACGCCATCTAAGTCTCAAAGGATTTTGATTGCTCCCGCTTTAATAGTACGTTCAATTTAGAACAATTGTCGCCATCTATTACTACCCCTTTTACTAAAAACCCTCGGTTTTATAATTTAAAACATCTGTCGTATTGTTCAAACTGCAGTTATTTGTCTAAAAGTTAATAGTACTCTACGGTGCTTATACAGTTTTACCTTATTTGTTTCACTAAGGTACTTTTAGTTCAATCGCCTATTTTTCCTCTCACTGATTACCTATACCGATTTATTTTTTCTTTTTAACAGCTGCGTTAAGATACATTTTCAGACTACGATGTCTGAATGTCTCTCGTTATGATCTTGACTGAATCCATCCGTCCATCCATCAGCTTTTTTTTCTACTTAAGCTGGTGTAGCCTTATAGGGCTATGCCAGCGTAACCGAGCGAGTAGATGAACTCACGGGGCCCTAGCTTGAGGGCGTTGCTAACACTAACCCTAACAAGAGCAGTGCTTCACAGAATCTACCACCGGATCGGAAACGCGACCCACTGAGAAGATCCGGCGAGAAACTCAGTGGTCTGTGTCTGTGGGTTAATTTACTCGCCGAACCCTTCGACAAGCGACGGGTTCGACGAGAACTTACCTCTGCTATAAACATTTTATTAAATCTCGTGGTGCGAGCGCGTGAATTAGATAAAGGGATGCTCACAATGCTCCTCACTGATTCTAGTCATACATCTTCTATATTCATTTATATTAAACAATACTGTTTTATATCTTTGTACCTTCGTCTATTACACCGTTAAAAATAGTAATCTTGTAGCAGTAAACGTTCTTGCCGTTTTCATCGCGAGTGTCTTTTACACTCACAAAATGAAGCACCCATATGCATCAACTATGACTTGCTTTTGCCGTTGGGTGGTTACTGATGAATTCTCGCATGATTGAATATGAACTGGGTTCGTTATTATTCATAACTCATATGATGTCAGTATCGTTCACGAAGTAACTGTGAAGATCTTAATTACGGAATAACTAAAGTAATTTAGTCGAAAAATTTTAATGAATAAAACTAAAATATGGGAGCGTGGCGCCATCTATATTACGGTTTGTTTATTTATACTTTTTGTATACAGAATGTGTTATTTTATTCGATCCTCAAGAAAAATAATGTTTAATGTTAAACATGGGGAACAAACTATATTTGTCTTTTCCTGCTCTATTTTCTGTTCCGTGATTGATGTATCAAATTGCAGGACATTTGGTCACGAATTGGAATTTAGAAAGAATTTGAAATTGGAATACTAGGTCAAGGGCTATTATATTTATTATTCCAATTCATAATACTTATAGCAAAATTAATGTCGAATTTTTTTTTTAATAATCTACTAATGTCATATCCTATCTAATCGTCCTGAAAGTTTATTAAGTTTTCCTATCGATCCTTTCGGGTCTGGTGTTAAGGAACTCCAATGGGTTGATTCACAGTATTCAAGTATGTGACTTCCACATTTTATTTTTTCTTTAAAATTCGTACTAGACTTTACACATGATCCTAATACATTATAAAATTCGTAACTTAATGCATCTATCCAATCTTTTAAGTCTTGTTTTGTTCTTCTAACATTTGCTTGTGATATTTTTTGTGACAATATAGCAGATTCCTGATCTGGTACAAAATTTTCTAATTTAATGTGCGAAAAATTGTGGTAAGAATTTTGTGAGCCACCGTGAAGTATGGATACTTCTTGATTCGAAATTTCTTTACCGCCGAAGTATTGCAATGGAGTGACGAGAAATTTCGTGCTAGCTAATAGATAGCTTTGCTCAAACATACCAACCTTCCACACTCCAGGTAATAGAGGAGTTCTAAAATTGGGTTTAATGAAGTTTGTTAAATTATTCTCATCCACATGAATATCTGTTAGATCTGCTATGATCCCGGCAGGGTCAAGCCAAACTATTGTTAAGTTTTCAGTCCTTTTTTCTAACAGTGTATTTGTAGAAAATTTATAAGACAACGTTGGTTCAGACAGTGGACCCAAAATACCAGCAAGGTTTCTGAAAATCATTTCTTTTTGATCATAATCAGAACTAACTTTGAATTGTTTTATATTGTCAACGTAACGATTTTCAAAATTTAGTTGCAAGTTCTTCTTTGGTTTGTACCATGTTTCCATTGACAACTCTACGTTATTATGATAAATTTTATGAAGTATTAAATTTCCTTTATATACATCAGCATAATTATATGATGTGATTTCAATCACTATATCTGGTTCAATTATACAACCTTCTTCAGCAAGAATTTTAGCATTATGACGAATAATGCTTTCGGAATGTGATAAAAGTGTATCGTCACTACTTGCCGTCAAATCATCCACATTATATATACTTTGCCAATAGCTTTCCAAATTTTGAATTTTTAAGTGATCCTTAAAACCTATATACTGTTCAACTCTGTTTATAATTTCTTGATTAATAATTGGCTCAAATTTTCTTGCAAAAAAGAGTTGACGATCCTGTGTGTTTTGAATCCTAGGCCAATCTTCAGTTTTAAAATCATTAGGTGAACATCCACACCAATCTACTACATGCTTGTACTGACATTTGCAGCCTAGTTTTCTTTTCCAATTGGTTACATGTAGATTGTTATCCACGTACGTATTACAAAAACGTGAATTGCGAAGTACAGTGTGAAAAAATGACTCTGCAGGTAAAAGCGTATGTTGAAAAATTATTTCTAAGCCAGACAAAAGTTCATCTTTTTCATTTGCAACATAGGAAACGAAATTAGGAGAGAGTGCTATCCAATCACTGCCGCCGTCTATTACTATTCCACGGGGAAGTTTTCTTTCACCAACACGCCACATGTGCGTATCACATTCAATAAATGTTTTATCTAATCCTTGTTTTTTTATAAATCTTTGTACCTCCCGACCATGGGATTTAACAAAATTGAAACCTTTATTTACTGATAGGAACTTCTCTAAATTTTCTAAGGACTTTATTGGAAAATCACTTTC